CCCTGTAGATCACAGAATAAGAAAATATGTAAAGCTTTTGATTTTATGCGTCTTCCAGGGTAAGGTAAAACAAGAAAAACTTACAACTATTTTTTATTTTTGGATCAAGAAATACGCACCGATGCATTCAGCGAATTGGGAGCGGTGAAGAAGGCCATTAGTTGAAGCAGTTAAATCATTGAACCGCTTCTCGACAGAAGACCATCCATTTCCAGATGCCCCAGTTTTGGTAGTGATAAACTTGAGTCCTTTTAAGGCATGAGCTGCAGCAGATTTATTCCTATCAAATCTCCTGCCCGCATTAGAAGATCTTCTTGAAACTACACGTTTCAGTTCCTGAGAAACCTGTTTAATTTGAGCCGACGTGTTCCTCAAATACGAACGAAAAGAAGCAGACTTGTTCTCCAGAGTTCTCTTAGCTAGCAACGCTAACTCAGGGTCTTCGTTACCTCCATCTGCACCTTGAACGCTGTGAACCGCGACAGAATCGTCTCGGATATCCAGGGTGATTTCCACATAGGCATCATTCTCATCAGCATGAGAAGAAAAACCAGCTGCGCTGCCTGTGGAGTTAGTCTTGGCCATGGTGATTTCAGGTGGAAGGTTGAATCTTGCACTCTTTTTAGAAGCTCTTTTGCTTGAAACTGGAGCACCACTTGAGCCTAATGGTCCACTAAACGCTGCCCTATCGCTTGCTATACTTTCTGTATCGGAATTATTCTCCGAGTAAGCCCCTCTCCATTCCTCGTTCCTCATTTTTTTTTTTCTCTTTTCTGAATGAGAGATTGAAACAGAAAATTTGTTATGCACAACAAGAATTCAAAATTGGTTCCTCCAACTGGGAATTACTAATCAAAAGTGCATGTAAAAGAAAAGGTGGATTCTGACAAGAAAAAAGAGATGATCCAAGGAAGATTTTTCTAAAAGATTTTAAGCAACCCTTTAATGTTCTGGTTTTTCAAGAGAAAAGAGCTTCCTTATATAGTAATGGCCAACGGTCACAGACGCAAATGAGAAACTTACAGGAAGCAAACTTCGTGGCGCCGGTCAAACGACCTTTCACACCCCATATTTATTTATTTTTTTAATTTTTCTGAGTAGAATCCCAAATCCTGACTTCCACTTTTAAGTACCCTTTTTTTTTTTTTTTTTGCATTTGTTTAAAAACTGGAAAATTTAATTCAATGGTGAAACTTCTCATGGAATTTCTAACAGGAATTAATTATAATAATGTTATGGAATTAACATATGCACAAATTTGATGATGATTGAATAAACAAATATTAAGGTTTAGTTTTGTATTATTATTGTGGTGGAAAAGAGTCTCAATTAAAAACATGTGTTTAAAAGTATGTTAAAATATTTTAATGTTAAATGTTAAAGTGAAAAAGTGTTGTGATAAATTAAAATATTTTATAAAATATGTACAAATTAATAAAATTTAAAAATATAATAATAATAATAATAATAAAGATGTTTTATTTACAAAATTTAGGATTTAACCACAAAAGTACTTATTTATGAGTTTTTTAATTTAGACTTACAAACCAAAATTTTAAATGTTAAAGTTATATTTCTTTTATTGTTCGATATTGAAATTGAATCAAAATGACATTTGAATTGAGAAAAAATCATTTTCTACTTTAATACTAAATCAAATCTAAGAAATTTCATTTTACTTTAATACTATATTTCTTTTCTTACCATTTGGCCCAAACTTAATGTTTGACATAGAATTATTCAGATTAAACAAAATTTATTTCACTGTTAAATTATTTAAGTGAAAAAGGAAAAAAAATTATGTTTAAAATTTGTTAAAGGATAAAAATCTCCTAAATATAATTTAATAAAATCATTTAAGTTTCTAACATTAAATTATCAATCTAAGTATTTAATTTTTTATTTCGATTCGATTAAACTCTTAAATAAACAAAATATAATCATTTAATAAATTTTAATCAATTCATTTTTTAACTATATTTTATTAAATTATTAAAAAAATTTTAAAAGTAAGAAAGAGAAAATAGATAATAAATTTTTTAAAAAAATTTTCACATATATTACTAGCATCGCATAGCAAACTTTAATTTATTTTATTGAAATTACATTTATTTTTTTTAGATAGCAAAAAGATAATTACATTAATTTTTTATTTAAATAAAGATTCAATTAAATGCATGTTAAAGAGATTGATTGGTTATAATAAAAAAGAAAAACGTAAATGACTTTTTAATTATAATTCAAAGATTTTTTTGACCTTTAAACCTTTTGGAAAATTGGTGAATTGTTTTTTTCTGTCAAGTGGACTGCATTCGTATATTAAAAAAAAGTTATGAAAATGCAAGACACGATAGATATACAGCTGAAAATTCTAAATTGTCATCCTTATCCTTAGAGTCAAGCCCACCACATCCGTACGAAAAAAATCAAAGGTTGCAATTTAAAAATAAAAATCATATAAATATTAAAATTTAAATTTAAATCTGTCAAACGATTCTTTTTAAAAATTATTAAGATTACGTAAGGGTAATTATTATAAACAAAATTTTCCTTCATTCAGTGACCCAATAGAACGGGAAATTCTCATACATTATCAATGGCAAAAAGACATTATGATAATCTTGAAGATTAATAATTTTTATTTTTAGGAAAATAAAACGAAAATAATAACAAAAAAAAATATTACTTATAAATCTATAAATAAGTGAATTCTCTAAAAAATTACATTAATATTAGGTATAATGAAAGCTACTTTTTATTTTTAAATTTGATTTTCATTTTTTTAATAAAATAAAAAAGTTTAGGAACTATTCAACTGTTGGCTACAGATATAATTATTATAAATCTTAATTGAAGACCAAACGAACTGATTTTATAAATCCTAAATGTCAAACACAGTTAATACTTTATCATGCTCTGTTTTTATTTGTTAAAATTTTATTATTCTCTTTCAATAATAAACCAAAAAAAGAAAAAGAAATTTCATTTTCAAACGAGTAATCCGTTTAAGACTAACATTCCCAATGTTATAATAAAATTTTAAATTTAAATTATTAATAATAAAAAAGTGATTAATGTCAAATCCAAATTTTAATTTAATTAATTCATATTATTATTTTTAATATTTAATAAATTTAAATTTTAAAATTTATTTTTTTTGAAGCAAAGCTTCTGTGCAGTCAACCTCGGGCCTCCGCCACGAATTTTTAGTGATATTTTCCTTCTCACAACCAATGCCATGTTAATTTATTTTTGAAAATGAGCTAAACTCGACATTTAATTATGGGAATTGCATATTATATCTACATATACAATTAATGTAATTCATTTAATAAACACTTATTAACTCATTTAACTTAATTAATTAAATAAAAAATAGTGTTAAAGGGGTCATTAACACAAAAATAACGTATCAAATTTGGTTAGACTTCCTTTATTACATACTAATATTTTATCATAAAAATCTAAAATTTTCAATAAATTTAATTGTTTATAATAGATTAATTGAGTTTGATATCTAGAATAATTCATACGATGAACAAATACTCATTGAATTAGTATTAAATAAACTATGTGACAATTTCAATTTTAAAGGCGTAGATTCTAGAGGCTAGAGATGAAAATTTTGCGTCAATTCTAATGTATATATAAAATTAATAATTTATGTTTTTATTTTGTATAAAATATTAAAATTTATATATTTATATTATATTTTATATAAAAATTATATATCAAAATTTATATTAATAAAAAATATATATTTTATTTTTTAAAAATTTTAAATAAGATTATTTTTATATATAATTTTTTTATTATATCAGTGTATAATATTTTAAATTGATAGGTTTCACTTATACGCGGAGTGCATGCACGTGTAATAGCAAAGTCTGAAAAAGAGGGAAGAAAAGCATTTCAATCTTTAGATACGGATGACTCGGCTTTGCTCCAAAAAATCATGCGGACCTAACCTACAATTGCGGTGTTCAAATTCTTCATCATTTTTGTTGGTTTGTGTCAACAGGCTGGAACACACTTCCATTACTTTTCTCCTTACGCTGAAATTTCAAAATGAATGTTTCTTGTGCCACGGTGTAGAAGTTACGCACCCAAGAGAGCATATTAGATTTGAAAATCTCAAATACAGATATAATGATATAATATAAAAATAATATAATTTAAAACTTTAATAAAAATTATAAGTAAATTAAATAAAATTAAAAATATATTTTTTATATTTTTTATAAAATATAATATAAATACATAAATTATTAATATTTTATAGGATATAAATTAACAAATTCTCAAATCTAAAACAGACCAACAGGGTCTTTTATGATTTTTGTTTTTGGGTGGAAAAGACTTGGAATTCGTTCTAGTAAAATCTGCCCCGGTTAACAACAATATCCAAAAAATCAAAGCAAAGACTTACTTAGGATGAATAGTAAAGTATCAACTCTTAATTCAATAATCATAATTCAATCTTTGACAATGGGTATATGTTATGGTCCCAACTGGTAGACCTGGTTTAACATCGTCCGACCAAGAATTTGGATAAGATGTTTAGTTGAATCAAAATACCAAATTGCTGTACTTCTCAAATTCGGGAAGTTTTGGAAACTTGACATGTTGGAAAATGTTGCTTACACAATTGGTGCACGATCTGATGGAGATTTCCATCACAAACCTTCAAGGGGGTTAAGAAAAAATGGCATGCTTTGACACTTGATAGACTTTGATTGGCTTATTTGCATTAATTAGCTAGTTTTGGATTCATGCTCGCAAGTACAATTATCCCCCATAAATGAAAAAGAATCTGCAACAATGGAGTTCTTCAGACAAAGTTGAAGGCCTGGAAGGAACCATAGAAATTTGACTAAACTGTTCGGCTTTGTCTAGTTATTAGGTTGTTTTTTTTTTCTATCAATGCACATTAAAGCAAGTAGTACCATGTTCCATTAATGAAAACAGACCGCATCCCAATTTTCTCAAAGATTTATGTACAGGGAAATACAAGTCATACAGACTTCGACATGTATAGCCTCAGAAACATTTAATTTCCCAACAATAAACTATTTATCTAACAAACTAATCACAAAGCAAGGCAAAATACAGGAAAAAAGAGAATATTAACTGAAGGGGAACTACTCAATCAAAATCTGCAGTCAATGATGCAACATTGTAAACAAGATGATGTTAGATGCCTTTGGATCTCAAGGGAGCAGATAGTAATGGCAATTCAGATGAAAGGAATCAGATAAGCCGCCTTTTGAAGTTTCTAGTGGTTGCTTGGTAAGTTCGAACCAGTAAGCCAACTCCGATACCAATGCCAAGACAAACGCTAAGACCAATCCCTACACCAACCCTTACACCTGCATTGAACCATGAGAGTTCACCATCTTCACCATCTATGTACTCTGTCCTCCTCCAGTACATATTGCTGTAGTCTTCATCATTTTCTTGTTTGTAGTTTCCGTATTCTGCCACCTACAAATGGACAGTAATGAAACAAGTTAGAGATGAGCACATGTTAAAGACTCCCTCCAATTCTCTCGAGGATGAAGAGAAAGCCTGAACTGACAAAGTTTTGTCCACAGATCTCCGATCATGGAGTAAGAATATTCATTCTTATTCTCTAAAGATAACAACAACTAATCCAAAAGATACCAAAGAAGAAAAAACTAAACACAAATACCTAAAGTTTACATGAAATATGCTTCCAAAGAGGGTTCAACACATATCAGTTTTCCCCCATGATATAGTTACTTGGAAGAGAAAGAGATCTACTTTCAATATATCAGGTGGGTTGAAACAGCCAGCAATAATTGAGATCTATAAAACAATGGTATTGTTCAAACCAAATATTTGAAAAAACTATAGAATGCTCAGATGTTCCAACCAGTTTCTTGGTTGCAACAGCTCAGTCTATCTATTCATGCAATAGGAAGTTTTGTGCAAAGTCCGAAGCCAAAAGATCAACAAATAAGGTCTGAGTACAGGCATGCAAAGCAATTCCAATTTAATGTATTGTTTCAAGATAAAAGTTCAGCTAAGAAACAAGATTAAGCAAACATCATTGACCATTAATTGGCTTGCAAGTTGCAATTAATCAAACATTCAGATTGCAACAAACTCTATAAACACAACATTTGCTTTAGGAGCAGAAAATGGGGGGTGCCCCAACAAGAAAATAGCAAGAAACAGCCGGGAGAGGTGGGCCTTTACATGACACCAACACAGTATGGCTCTAGTGGGCAAAGAGACATCAGGATCTTGCAGAACAATTACAACGAAAACTATATTATAAGAGAAAAGGAAATGGGGTATATATATCCCATCACTCAAAAATGGCGCATTGCATACGCTCATGACACATATAGGATAAAGATTCTTTTCCCAATCCATGCATCAAATCTAACAAGAATGGACCATATTGCAAAAAGAAACATGTTTCAAGACAGGAAGCACGTTGGCAGCCATAAAAAGGACGGAACTAACATAAAATCAGAACTTCACTGAGTTTCAAATCACAGAAATTTGACCAAAGCTTATGAATGGCCATCCTTAAATATACGAAACATAAGCCGCTAAAATGTAAGATTAAGAGCAACACCAAAGCTTTGCTCAAACACAGTATACCTCAAAATCAGTAAACTGAAATGAACAGAAAAGAAATGGAATTTCAATACTGATTGGTAACTGGTATGTTACCTGCAAATTAAGTCCAGGTGACTTATCTTTCTCGCATTCAGTGCTCTCATATTCTGGGATTGTATCTAACATGCCCTTCCTATTATGCTTCTTCCGGTAATTAAGTTGCAATGTTTTAGTCAAGATGATTGGTGTTCCAGAGAAGCAACCCGCAACATAAACCTCAATGGTTGGTGGTGATAATTCCGGACAAAATATGTGCTTTCCCTTCAGGAAACCACTGCCAGATGTGATTTCTGATTCACAATTAATGCTCCATCGTTTCACATAATTTTTTGCTTCCCCAATGAAGCCATTATTACTAGACATTTCCAATACTCCAGAGAGAATGAGATCCTTTTTATCAAACACCTCAAATTTCACACTTCCCATCAACCGAATACTATCTGTACTCACAAAGGTAGCTTCTTCTGATTTCTTATCTACCCGATCCCTTCTAAGGAGTAAAGAGACCCCATCAGAGTATATGCCGCTTCTAGTGCCATTAACTTCCAAAAGGGTGTCGGGGTCTAGAGGGATATGATTGAGAGTTAGAAACTCTGGAGTCGAATCATCAACTTGAAAATTGCTGACTCTAACATAGAAGACTCTCAAATCAAACCAGAGTGATGATAATCTGGAACATGGTTGGAATGGCGAGTCCCTAATAAGATGAAGGTTGTGACCTGCCACTTTACCATTTTCTGGTTTTTCACATGGACCCTTCATGATTGAGGAGCTTAATCTCACTGAAACCCTCTAACATCAATTAGAATCACAACATTGGAAGCACCACAGAAATTGGTATCAAATTGCCAGTGAAAACCTGTTACAAGATTAGGAGAGTAATGCCAGTCAGATAATCACAAGGAATAATATAAGTCATACAAATCAACTTGCACGAAATTACGGAGAGGGAGAGGGTGGAGGAAGAAAGAATATACGAGAAAAATTCCGAGGAAAGCAAGATAAGAGGTTTCCAGGTAAATTTTTAGGAACAGAAACCCTTGAAATATGGAAAAGAAAAGGAAAAATCATAACAGAGAGAAGATATGCAATCAAACGATATTGTCTTATGGCCAAACAAAGAAGAAAATTTTCCAACTTTACCATATGACAACATGGCTAACAGAGATTATACAAAAGCATACATTTTTTTTTTTAAAAAAATACATAATTAATTGTTATCTATCCCAAAGTAATTAAAAAAAAAAGTTTTAGATTTCAGATATGCAGACTTTAAGGAACATAAAAAAGCTAAAAAAAGATATGATTTTCTATTGCATTTCTGAAATTTCAATAAACCACAAAATAATTAAGACAACCAAGTGGGAATTTAAAAGAAAGATCAACTTCTAAACAAAATTCGTCATTTGGAAATTGAAATAAAAGTATCCACCAGCAGTCAACCAGGGGATCCTACAGTTAAGCAAACCAGGAGTCAGCTTTCCTTACCTCTATGTTTAGGAATCAAAGCAAACAAAAGGATAAAATTGAAGAACTTACTAACTCTTGAGCTATCCTCTTCTTCTTCTTTCAAGGGAATACAAAAATGAAAAGCAGGAGAGAGAGACAGAGAGAGAGAGAGGGAAGGAAAAAGGAAATTTTAAGACAAAAAAAGCCAGGCAATTAACAAATAAGCACAGATCACACAACCAGCCAAATTATGTAAATACCAGTTTCTTCAGAAACACATGGCACCACAAACGGAAAACAAAAGAATTTTCATACCACAAAGATTAATCTTACCAGGAAAATTTTCCATCCACAAAGATACCAACTTGCAGAAATATATATTGTGATATTGTCTTCTACAATCCAAATAATCCAACTCTTCTAGCTACTGACTTGTCACGCAACTTTCAACCTCTAAGATTAAAGCTTTTGATTTGCTAAATAAATCTTCAAAGACCCAAAAGTCTCCAAGCACCTCCAGCCTTATATATTAGCCACAGTAGCAATCTGTTTCTTTTACTTCTTTCTTAAGATTTATTATAGAGCTGTGGTAATTCTTCATATCTCCAAAATGGGTTGTCCCAAAAATGTAAAATTGAGTGAGTGATGGGACGTTCTGATGACTTTTTTCTTTCTTTTTCTTTTTCTTATTTTACGGTTAATGGTGAAAAATGGTTGGATATGAGGTGGACTACTTCTGACCTCGGCTGCCTCTGCTTTATTACGATTTACGAGTATATTTGAATACGTCTCATGATATGAATGATCTTATCCGATTAGCAGCCTCCGAGTTAGTATTTGCGAGGCCTGTGTCCTTTGAAAGGGATGTCCTGCCTTTCCCCTGCCTTGAGGATTCATAATCCACGGCTATGTTGACATGGTCATTGGCTGTTGTTTTATGAACTCATCATTATAGTTTGGGCGATAGATGTAGTCCACTAGGTCCCATTGGGCCTCGTTACTGAGGACTTGGAGAAACAGGCCTCTAACATAAATCTATTGCATCAAGGCTTTATTGCCACATGTTCTTTGGGCCTATTGTCATCACTTCTGCTAATTCTATTTTTGTTACGGTTAAGATGTTTTCATGTTTTATTCGGCCTAATCCTTTCTCGGACTCTTCAACATCAGTCTACTCGTGTGTGTGTGTGTGTGTGTGTTTTTTTTTTTTTTTTGCAAAAAACAATCGCTTGACCGACAGATCACAACAGGCAACAACCGTTTTCTAACAGGGGTTCTTTTGAAATATCCACTCTCGCGCTTCTCTGCGAGTCAAATCTCTGCATTTTTTTTTCCTTGGGTCTCAACAAAATCTGACACCATAGCCTGATCCTGTATTCTTCTCTGGTATTTTCCTGGTGAGCATTTCTTTTTCTACGTAAAGCAAAAGGTCTAGAACTCTAGTTATCTTGCTTACTTTCTTTGTAACCTTGAATTTCTTCAAGTCTAATTGTTCTGTATCCCAAAATTTTGAAGTGGCTTGTAAGTTTCAAGTCAAGAAATGCAAGTTTCATTTTTTTTTTGGGCGAAAATTCTTTTTTTTTTTTTGTGGAGATTGATTTTGGGGTTTTACTTAGATTCAATGGGGGTGGTTGCCCTTTCTTTTTCTGGGACAGTAAGTAGCTGGTAGTTGAATCAGGAAGAAGATTGACAGTTGATTTTGTGCGGTAAAAAGATTCTTTGATTTATTATTTTCTAAACATTTTTTCTTTTGATGATTTGTAACTTTTCATTTAATCCTCTGGCCTTGAATAGGGAGAAATGCTTGTGGATTTGACTAAAAATTCTAGAGCTTTGATAGTAACTTTGTTCTGTCACGAATCTAAACCCGGGAACATTTAAAATATCTATGTTACAATGTATCGGTTAATAAGATTTATTGTGGAGGCAAAAATGATTAGAGATAGTTTTTTTTACATCTTGGCTACACCAGCAGAGTCAATTTTCTCAAGATAACTGTTTTCTAGGAGACTGCATCTAGTTCTCAAAATTGATGTTTTGTGTTCTTTGTCAACTTTGAAATCAGTCTATGAGTCCTAAACTTTCAGAAACTTAGCTTATTGGGTTCAAATGATTCAAGGAGATTGTGATTGTTAATGGTTTAAGCCGCTCATGAGAATAACATGGTTCTTATTCCTGCAATGACAGGTTTTTATGGTGGGGTTCTTCTTGCATGCATTTTTCTTTTTAGATTACTTTCTTTCTTTTTATTGTATTTTACATCACTGCATGGTCTATGTTATCTATTTGTCAAAACGAATAGACTAATACATCTATAGGTATAATTTTGACACCTTTTGCATAGGTTATGGCATACCCTGAGCCTCAAAATGCAGTGAGGGGAATAGTTCAGGTCAACCCTACTCCTAGAAAACCTCGGATTTACTTGCTGCCACTGGAAGTGTAGCTGCCATAAAGTTCGGGAATCTCTGCCATTGCTTCTCTGGATGGGCAGAAGTAAAAGCAGTTGCCACAAAAACCTCTTTGCATTTCATTGACAGAGCATCACTTCCTAAGGATCTATATCTTTACACTGATGAAGAGGAATGGTCCAGCTGGGGGAAAATAGGTGACACTGTGCTTCACATTGAGCTTCGTCGATGGGCTGATCTTATGGTCATCGCCCCATTGTAAGCAAACACACTTGGCAAGGTAATATGATTTGGCCATTTTTTGGTACATTTTTGTTCCTCATTTTTGTACCTTTTTATAACTGTGAAAGGGATGCTTCAAATTATACGTGCATGTTAATGAAAAGTGCATTGAAAATGACTGGAGAGAATGCCTAAAAGTCACCTAATTTGAATTGTTAGGATGTGCTTTATGTAGTTGTGGGTAGATACGAGTACTTATATAATGCTTTATGTCAATCATATTTTTGGTTGAAAACTTGTTTATATTTTATACTTTTAGTAAGTAGGCTACACTTATGCTAGCATTCATGTACCTGATAATTACTTTCTGTGCTGTGATATGCTTTTGAATGATTTTCCCTTTTCGCTAAGCTGTTTTGTGCTGCTTAAATGATCATATGGCTTGGTGTGATTGTAACTCTGCTCTTAAGTAACTTTCTTCTTATCTTTTAATATCTGCTATTGCAGATTGCTGGGGGATTATGTGACAATTTGCTAACTTGCATCGTACGAGCATGGGACTACAGCAAGCCACTGTTTGTTGCACCGGCTATGAACACTTTCATGTGGAGCAACCCTTTCACAGAAAAACATCTCATGTCAATTGATGAGCTCGGAATTTCTCTCATCCCCCCTATCTCAAAAAGACTAGCTTGTGGGGACTATGGCAAAGGTGCCAATGGCATAACCTTCTCTAATCCACTCAACTATAAGACTATTCTTGGAGTCACGGCCTAAACCAAGTGCTTGAAGATCCAGTTGATTCGACATAAATAACAATACTAAATTTGTTGCGTTGTAATCCATTGATTCTGTAGGTTAATGTACATTTAAACCTGCATTTTAGATTTTGCTTAGCTTGCATATCATGAGGAATGGTCTTGAACACTACAGAACATTTGATGCTGTTAGCTGATAAAATTGACGAGTTGTAGAATCGTATTAGCTTGACAAAAGTTACCTTTCATGATTATCTTTTTTCCTTTGAAATGGTTGTGATTTATTGTACATGTTTAGTGGAGATACAGGTGCATAAATCTGTGGTGGTTAGGACCTGGAAACTATAAAACTTAAGCTGGAAGGAAATTTTTTATTGTCTATGACTACCTCTATGTATAATAATTACTGCATATGCAAAGATTTAATAGAAAATGAGTGAAAAAGCAGGAAAGAGCTCATCATTATTATTCTTTGATCAAAAGAAAGAAGCCCACGAAACTCCTTCCCGCGTCCATATCTAGGGACTGTGCGTAACAATTTGCAGTAGTCATATCTTTATTGGCTGGCTCTGAGCCACAAAGATTCAGTCCAATTGGACGGATTGAGGGTTATGTACCTCATGCACTTGAACAACAGGGGAATATAGTTCGATGACACGAGGCCCAAGAAGGGGCACAAGTGGTCTGACTGAGACCGTGAGTCTGAGTTATATAGTACAACCTAACCCTTTAACCACGTAAAATTCAAACCCAAAAGGATCCTTATTTTTCTAGATGAGAATTGGGAAAGACAAAGACACTTTGGTTTCAACCTCTAGCCATTTAACCATGGCTTCTCATAGCCATTCCTGTAACTATAGGACAGTGACAATGACATCCTATCCTATATTATATTAATACTAACACGATTCCGGTTCATTATTAGCTCTAGATTAACAAAATCTTTAGGATGACAAACATTCCTCTTAATTATGGTTAAATGGGGTTGTAACAAAATGTATATGGGAAGGATATATTATAATTCACTAACTCATGTATCTAACTAATATTTATGAGACTTGCTTGAATAATAAGAAGATACCAACATGAAATGAAAATCATTATCCCTTTCAAGGATGTGGCTGTCACTTTCCTTAGGGCTCTTTATTTCTACCTAGGAAAAATCAAACTAATCTGATTATGTGCCCTGTTGTTTGTCCACACAAGAAAGGCACAAACCTATGTGTTTAACCATGGTTAGTGTTTAGCCACTTCTTCATTTTCCTAGTTTTGGACTTTTTGTGTTTAACAAAATAAACAGGAAATTTTGGAGGGTGAATGAAATAGGAAACCTTTCCACCTCATTTCATTTCCTCCTGTTTGTCTTTTCTTCTGCTGCAAAAGAATAGGATATATAGGCATGGATGGGGTTTGATAGACAAAGAAAATGAAAGGGAATTTTAATGGATTTTTAAGGTTTTGAGCTTTGTTACTATTTATTGGTTTGGGGTCATAGATATATAGAATAAAATAAGAGGAGAGAGAAGGAAAAGAAACACTAGAAGGGTAGAGATTGTATTAATGGGGATTCCAGAATCTGGATATTGGTCCATTTGCCTTAGGGTCTTGTATAAAAAATATACCAGGGGACATGTTTGAATGAATTTTTGGATTCAATTTCAATATACAGAAGGGTAAAAGAGCTGAAAACATAGAAGAAAAAAAAATTGGAGATTTGATTTTGATGGTTTCTTTGGGTTTATGGTAACTGTGTATTGGTTGTTGAATAAAAGCTTATTGATAGGAAAGATTGATGGGTAAGAAGAAGCCTCAAAAAACCAAGGAACTTTCAGTAGCCATAGCTGAGGCTTCATCAGCAAGAGAAGAGGTTCACCAACACACACGACAAAAAGAATCTCAGCCTCAGGCTCAGACTCCTAGAAAGAGAGGAAGACCTCGAAAGATTGTTGAGAAAACTGAAATTGAAGCTGAAGAGAGAAAAGAAGAGGAAGCAGCTGAAGTTATTGAGAGCGAGTCAAAGAAAGTAAAAATTATTGAGGATCAAGTAGAAGAAGAAGAGCAACAAGAGCAAAAGCCACAAGCAAAGGCAGAAACATCATCGGGCATAAAGAAAGGAGGGGGACAATCAGTGACGCCAAGGGAGCCTCCAAGAAGGAGAACAAGAAGAAAAAGCAAACCCAGAAAGAGCAGCTAAAAAATTGCTTTAATTTGCCTTTATAAAATCTGGTAAACCCTTTTTTTTCTTCTTCAATACATATATGGTAGCTCCAGGAACAGAAGATTAAAATGATTCTGCTTTTCATGTTGATAAAGATTAAGATGAAGCTTCCAGGTTTCATCAAATTTGTTGCTTTATCAGTCTCTGTTTCAAATGTAAACACAGAAAAGCATAACACAAAGGGCCTTGCTTTTGCTTTTCTTTTCTTAATTGCAGTAATTGGACTTGACCATCTTCCTTATCCCCATCTATTTTCTCTATAAACAAACAAAAATTAAAAAGTAGCAAAGATATTTGCCATCGCTTAAAAATTAAACCAAATTAGAGTCGGTATCACTATACATATTTTTCATGTTATACTGTTTCTTTATGATTATTATTAGTTGACTGTATTTGTTCCTTTGTCATTGTTTTAATAACAAACAAAAAGATAAGAAAGGAAAAGAAAATCTAGCTAGCTGCATGTTGGATGAAGAAACTTCCAGCAAGACCAGGGTTTTTGATTATTTTACTCAATTATGTAGGAAATTTAATGCTTGGTGACAATGAATGAGGGGCAAGTGAAAAGTGAAAACCAGATTGAAAAACTGAGTGGATGTGTTTTGCTGGTGCCACTGCCAGCTCTGCCTTGTAAGGAACAGACGCTGAGTTATAATTGCTCTTGACAAGAAAAAAACTAGAACTGCTGCCAACTCATTTCCACTCTAGCACGTGATGTCACGCTCTAGCTATCAACAAAACAGCCTCCAGCCGCCTCAGTAACCCAATGGGCAATCTCTGATTCTGATGGGTTCTTTACCACGAAAAAACTTGAGCTGCAAGTGATCCCCAAGTTATATACTGGCGCGTGGAGTTGGTGTTTTTTAAGATTCTAGTTATGGACCAGGTCAAAATGGAGGAAGAGGAAGCAACAGTAAGAAAGGGAGACGGAGAGATAGTGAGCTTTGGTAAAGATCTTCGCAGGAAGAAAGAGAGAGAGTAGACCGTATTACAGATGTCCTTTTATAGGAACACGTTTGGATTACTCTTTCACTTGTCTACTTAATTGTAAGATAGAAAGGTAGCAGACGAAGAAGTCGTGAGCTTTTGCCACTTGCCACACTCAGTCCACGAGTTGCTGAACGCGCCCTTGCCCATGGGACCCTCCCGTATCTGTTCGCTGCGTAGCTTTGACAAGTTGTTTGATTCAAATTACCCCACCTGAAAATCTCAAGCCAAGCTACTGTTTGATTGGGTAGAAGTTTGCACGCCGCAAAGAATCTCTCACCCAATTATTCTAAAGCAAAATTTTGAAGGACAATCCTTGCTTAAATCACTTAAGCTGGCACTAAAAGGGAAGTTTGTAATTGTTTTTGGAATTACTGCGTTTCACTTTTCATGCAAGAATGTCAGTGTAACTGTGAAATTTTGCAATAAAAAATGTCCTCAGTTTTTCTTTCTTCTTTCTTTATTTATTGTGAGCCAGAGCAAAAGCCTGTGTTGAGAATTGAGGAGATGTTGCTGTCGGGCGCAGGCCTGAGTTTGTCCTACTCCAACACAAATCTTGCTGTCATCCAGACACACGCTTTGAATGATTTTGATTTAACAATTTAAGGGCCACAATGGCCAATCTGATTCTTGTAAATCTTTAATAACATGTCAATCGGCAGAGACATGTGAAAAGAAAAAAAAAGTTTTTGATACATTGTTGAAAACGGACAGGTCGTATTCTTTCCTTTTCTATTTATTATTTCTTTTTTTCTAAGAAGTCACAACTTCGGGACATAAGAGAATGTAAGAGTTCATTTAGAAAGTAAAAATTCCCGGATTCAACCTGTTAAAAATTAAGTTACTTTGGATACACTGTAATCTGCAGTCGTCTTTTATCTAAAATATCATTAAAAATGGAAATTAGCCGTATATAAGTTAGTAGTGGGAGACAAAACGTACGGTGAAGCCAAACAAAAGGAACAGACCATTACGTTTAAACAACAACTAATCTATAATTGATGGGGACATGTCCGAGTAGGGAATGACACATCTCTCAAAGTCAATAAATTTATAGGTTTTGTTCTTTGGGCTTATGGTGATTGTCTTGCTGCTTAATACCATCCAGCGTGTAAGACGCTGATTCTACACGGCCCCGACATCTTTTGAAAATGATATTCTTTCGATGTCAACTGGTTACACTAGGCCAGAAACCGCAAGACCAAACTTGGCTTTTAATTATGTTTGGTCGAATTGTCGATTTACAGAAGTAAATTGAATTTGGCAACATTGGAAGATAAAGTATACTGAACAAAATGCAAATGGAATGGTATTGAAAAAAAAAAAAAAAAAAGATAATTGAGTCACTTATATAGGATTGACAACGAATCGAATCATAACAAATTTTTGTTCGCTTAAATTTGATTTAATTTTATAATCATAAAATTTGAACTCGATCTGAAATTTTTTTAATTTTTTTATACCCAAACCCAACACTATACGATATTATATAAATCGTATTTAATCTGACCTGAAATTAATAAAATATTATTTTTTAAAATAAAATATAAAATATATTTAAAATTAAAAAATAATTTTTATATAATATTAAGTAAAATCAAACTTACCTCAAGCTCGAACCCGACTTTTCTTTAATAATATTTGATTCGATTTGAAACCCGATTAAAAAAAATCGATCCTATGATATCAGATCGGATCGAAACCCGTCAGTTACGAACTGAGCTACCAACTCTACACTCACGTGACCTTTTCAGTAAAACGCTTGAAGTCAAAATTGTTTTCAGAGAAAATGAATACAACAAACCTACAGGCAGAAAATTATCATTTGAATCAGAGCTTTTACCCCCATGTATAGCCAACTAAAGCAAAATTATTTAAATGCAAAGAAAATGATAACCCCATGTTTGCTAATAAAATGGATATATTTATTAATACCAATACAAATCTACCAATTGCTCAGTTTTTTGACTTGTGATGTCGCTCCTTCCTGTACCGAGAATAATCAGGATCAAATCCACCTTCCTCAGCTCCATAGACAGCCCAGGATGGAGTGAGAGCCATATAATCCTCACTGTCGAAAGGTCTTCCTGAAGCCGCCTGCACCATTGACAAAAAACAAAAGGTTTAAAACAAAAACTTTTTATAGTCCAGAGACACTCCAAACAGTGAAATTGATGCTGTTACTAACCAGGTCATGAAAATTTTCGTAGTCTATCCATGTGTGCCATTTGCCATTGACCTTGAACTTTTCTGTTTTTGCCAGGAGGACACAGCATGAGTGTGCATGTTCACATGCAACGTCATACTCCCCTCCACTTTTCAGAGCCAACGCCTCTGAGAAAGCCTTCACATCAGAATGCCATGGCACATTTTCCATTGTCAACTTTGATGTGGCAGAACTGTGAAAAAGATCAACATGATTGAGCAAGGGCAGGCGATGTTGCAGATAAAAATCATACTAATAATAACAGTAAGTCCAATAGACTTACGATCCACAGTATGTAACGCCTTTGATTTCAACAAAATCAGGATTCCCAATGCTAAAGAGTTTAGAATAAGCATCTACATCTTCTGTATTCCATCCTTTCACAAGTGTCAAGCGATATACAGTTCGTTGGTGTTTCTCCTTGAGAGCTTTCAAGGAATCCTGAACAACAGATGTTACCAATAAGAAAATAAGAACTTCAGGCCACCCAAAGAAAAGCCCTAAAAAACGCTGAGGAATATGTGAAGTTCTACGCAGTATAAGCTGTCATAAAGATGAAGAAGCAGTTCATTCTTACAGAAGTTAAAAAAATTATTTGTTTCATGTTTGGGGCTTTTAACATGGCTGTTATGTAAATAGCATTTCACAATAATGCAAACAGAATGCTGTGCTTAAATTGGGATTCAAGAAATCTGCAATATGTTCTCCATTGCATGGTAAAGGCAGCTATATAGCTTTCAGATCAACACTAATTCAAGTTTGTAGAGGAAGTTTCACATTCCCCATGTAGCCTGCTAGTCTCTGGATTCAAGGATTTTGATGCCTGCCATCTTTCCACTTTATATTATCCCTCTTCTCCAACCATCATATCTTTTTGTCTAAAGAAATTTCTGTTACACTTCTTTCCTTAATGTTTTATCTCAATTGTTTAGTTTTCAAGAATGAAACACTTACAATGAATCTTTCCCAGAAGTCCCCAAAGAGTGGCCTATCAATTGCCTTCAAGCTATCCTTTGTTGCAGCATCTACACTCACATATAACTGCATGAGTAAAAGAAATTGACTAGGTTAATCAAGAGCGGAAGACTCATTTAACATCTATGCTTCATTGACATAAATTCACAGCCAACAGACCTGGGTTACAGGCTTCAGATTTTCAATTTTTCAGGGAACTGTGAATTAGTAACTAGAAATGTAGAGATTCGCCTTCGGTGCAGCTCATCCACAAGCACATTAATATCTGGATACATAATTGGTTCACCAACAAGTGATAAGGCACAGTGCTGAGGGGATAGACCTTCTGTCAATCGCTCTTCAGTAATACCTGCAATGGTAGGATGAGTAAAATTCACCTGTTAAAGCAATGGAAAGATCTTTGTTTAAACTGTATGTCTAAGAGTCTAATTTGTAACAAACAATTTTGGGGACATTTTAATCCTGCCAAATATTACTTGTTACTGGATGATTATGACATACTTGAGGTGCATTGACTAAATTGTCTGTGGCAGAACTTAATAGAAGAAAATGTCAGCTATAGTAAACCCCATAGTCCTGAAAGGAAAGTATAATTAGAACTAAAATATGACAATTACCAGGAACTCCTTTCATTTGCTTAATCATCTTTTTATGAAGGTCTATGGCAGCATTGACAATCTCTAAGGGATCGTCCGTCTTCCACTGCCAACTCTTTCCCACAGGATTCGTATGATGCCTCCAGCAGAAAACACATTTGTTGGCACATGCCAAACTAGGTGTAGCCTCCATGCATCTGTTAAATTCAGAAGTTAAACTAATTTCAATTGCAGGTCTATAACTGCAGCCACGAAGTATAGAAAGGACAAAACACCTAGCACAATGTAAGTTAAGTAGATTATAATATGAGGTTTCACTTCAATAAACTACATAAAATGATCAAACTCACAATAGACAAATGTACATAAGAGCAACTAACAGCCAATTATAGACTATCATGATGCATGCTTCCTAGTGTCCAACCTTTTTTTTAGTTAGCTAAGGGTGTGAAAGGAAAATAGTAACATGATAATCTTTCTGTAAGTGTAAACATGATATCAGGATTCTCCTCATAGTATAAATCAAGGAGCACCATAGTACGACATTTTTGTGATGAAAAGTGTAACTAAACCTAAAAGCTGGAACAAATATGCAAAAAAAAGGTAAAGCCATATCGCACAACATTCAAAATAGAATCAACTAAATAATCAACAAAGGCTTAATAGGTGCACAAGAAAGTTGCAATCACCTATGACTCTCTATTCCATAAAAGAAGTGCTTGTAGCAACCTCCTCGTCCTCTAAGTTGCGACTTGGTCCATCTACAGATTTTAACACCACTATGTGAACCAATAATTTTATATCCCTGTAAATTCCCACCAGTTAAAGGATGTCAATTAGACCATAAACTGCAACTGCATACCAACAGTAAGCAATCACCAGAGTGAAATGTCTTGATCAACAAAAGATTCATATCCATTTAAAGAAAGTTACCTGTTTCTCCAAGTTGGCTCTGATAACTGGTGTCACCATCTCTCTTTTCCCATCAAATTTCCGATTAGTTTCAGCCACATTAACCGACTTCTTTCGCGACGGCCCTTTACCTGCAATATCTTCAAGATCAACAATGTTTTCCCTCCTCCTCCATCATCATCATCATTATCACTTTCACGGCTTTCAACTTCACTCTCATAAACAATGCCATTCTTCATTCTCCATCACCAATCCCCCTTTCAAAACAGCAACTACCATTTCACTCCACTCTTCAAAGGCACTCTCCAATGCACCTCCATCCACGTCACCTTCCCAATTGACACCATCTCCATCGCTCCCAAACCTCTCAACCTCCTTCCCAAATCCCTCGCCACCGCATTAAACGTTTCTCCTTAAACCCGGCTACCGACTCCAAAGACGGCGAATTTACAATTGGAAAGCAACAAATTCCTGGCGCGAAAATCGGTGCTGATTTCGGCGAGCCAATTGACGAAAAATTTTGAGTTTTGAGGAGGGTTTCCATCTTCCCACGTGGAAGAAATGATAAGGATTAGGGATTCCTTAGGAAGGTCCTCGGGCTCGTAATTTTGGGGATCGACGAGGTCGAAAGGGATGTTGTTGTAGGAGAGGACGTTGAAGAAGCGTTGAGCTAGGGCTTTGGATGTTCCTGTTTGGCTGATGAAGAAAAGCTTGCCTTTTCTAGGGTTAGGGTTTAGAGGGAGTTGTTTAAGGGGTTTTAGGCGGCGGCGGGATTTGTAGAGGAAGTAAAAAGTGGTGGCGGAGAGGAGTGCCAGGAGGGTGAGGCGTGTGGAGAGTGAGGATGGGGACATGCCGGGGATTTATTGTTTCCCTTTACTCGGTTACAGGGTTTTTGATGGATTTTGGCAGAAGCGAGCGAGTAGAGGCGCTCGTCGTGGTGGTGAAGTGGAGGAAGAAGGCGGCGATGTAGTAAGCTTTGGCATGAACATGAAGAAATCGTGGGCTGAAATCACATTCTATCTATTGGGCTTATTGGACCATTGTTAACAGTATGTTACATTTCCGGGCTTAAAAACAGACACGGTTGAGTTAATTAAGTATTTATTCTTTTATTTTTAAATATTATTTTTATCTAATTAAAATTTTATTTTAGCATTAAAAATCCATTAAACAAATAAGAGATTACTTTTTAAAAAAAATAATATTTTACAATTTTAATTAAAAAAAATAAAATTTTAAAAATATAATTAAAATTTTAATAGAGAGTACAATAAAAGAATAAAAATTTATTTAAAATATTAAAAAAACTAAATTTTTTTAGTATTTTTGCCATTAGTTTTGTGGGCCAACCCTTCTAATAATCAGTGTCCCCAGTTAGATCTCACCATGTCCCCCTGTAAGGGATGTTAAGAGTGACAACAAATTGAAGTACAACTCATGAACTTTGAGAAGATCAAATGTTAAAAAATGATGATTAATTTACAGATATCTCGCAAATTTTGAATAATCAGCGATCCACGACAACAAAAAAGGAAAATTAAAAGGAGACTTCTGAATGATGTTGCTGTAAAAAGAGGAGAAAATGCGTGGTGTTATGAAATTTGTGAATGTACATAGATAAGAGATCTCAAGGACGCCATATAGTTTTCTGAGCACATATGATACCCTCCTTGTTCTGAGAATAAGTCAATCTGATCTCCCAATGTAAACTTCCCAAAATTCCCTCTAGAGGATCAAGTATCTCAACCTTATCGCGCACGATTACCCAACCACCAGGACGTAGAATACGATCCATCTCAACAACAATTGAAACAGGCTGCTTGCACCTGTAAAGGGTCATACATATTGGTGTGATGATCAATCAATGAGAGTAATCAGGCGAGACAACCTACCGTCCTAGTGCAGATGGGAATAAAATTCAATGGTAACTTGCCTGTTCTTTAGCCTGGAGAAAAAATGATCAGCGTGTAAGAGGTCATATGATCTTGGATAAGTCCCAAAAGGCTCGCACCAGTCATGGTAGATGCCAACGAGTCCACGTTCAAAGATGAAGGGAAGTGTATCTGGTGCATGGACCGGGACAACATTCATCACCCAAATCTTCTGTTGTAAAAGTGCAGCAGCAAATCTGTATTTTAACAGAAACATTTCAACTTCATTTCTTGGTACATTATTACGTATTTGCAATTTTTTGGGACCCTACAGCAAAAGCAAATTTCAAGAGGAATTGTATTACAAGCGTTTTATTGTACAGTAGCCATACCCTCCGTAGATGGCTTTCATGTCCATCACATTCCTGATAGTTGACCAGTCAATACCCATTCCAGTGAGATAGGACTTCTCAACAATATCTTTCCAGTGCTTGTCATCATCAATTGCTTTTTGTTTGTCATTCAACCAATCAGGATATGTTTCAAGCCTCTTAGGCCATTCCTCCGGCCACTCGGTGCCATGTTGTTCGATTGCAGATGGAATGGCATGCAAGCAAGTCTTCATAGGGACATACCTATCAGGAACAATTTTGCAGCCACCAAGCAAATTAGGGTCACATTAAATCATTATGTTAAGATTAAGCATGGTTTTGTTTCATGGAAACTAATTTTGATTATCTTTACCCATGAATAGTACTAATGCTTAATTTTAAGCGGTTAGGAATTTAAGCTGCTACATGATTCTTAAAATTGGGAATCTCACTTTAGCCACATGAACCAGGCAATAAGCAGCGCACCAAGGGGCAATGCTAGCCCCGAACCCGACCCGATTTTATGCTTTATCAAACCCGACCCCGACTCGACCCGAATTTTTTAATACCCGAACCCGACCCGACCCGAAATTAATAAAATATTATTTTTTAAATATAAATATTTAAAAATATCATTATATAAATATATATATATAAATAATTAATTAATTAATTAAAAAATAATTTTTTTAATAATGTTGGGTCGGGTAGGGTTGGGTTTTAGGCATACCCGAACCCGACCCGACCCCGATTGTTACCTAATTTTACCCGACCCGACCCTGACCCGAAACCCGAAATTAAAAAAAAAACCTGACCCTATAAGGTTGGATCGGGCCGAAATCCGTTGGGAACGGGCTTGATTGCCATCCCTAATGCTAGGTATTATGCAAATTAAATTAAATTCCTTTTTTCCTATATGTTTAAACGTTTGAAACGGTATATTAGATGAGTATAATCAAGTGCAGGAAGTTACATAGCATTAAAACCAGAAAGATAAATCGTACACTTTGTAAAGAAAGCGCATCTGAGCTTACCAGGCAGCATCAGGATTTTCATGCTCCTTGCATAAAGGCGGATTTTTCCTCCTCCTCAACTCATATATATCATTGGATTCAGGCTTCTGATATATCTTAACACCCACTTCACTGACATCATCAGTTTTATGAGCCAGAATATTCCAACAGATGGAAGAAGTCAATGTGTTCATAGCTGGAGAAAACAAAAGTGTTAAACGTGAATATCATCATGAATAAAAGAGCAGTTCTTTAGGTAGATAAAGAAGCAAAAAGCATTGCACCCAAAATAAGAAAAAGGAAAGCACATTAAATACATGGCCAGGGGCAAAAACTTTGAGCTTGGCAGAGTGCAGACACATCACCCATAAAACAGCAGAAGGTTTCACAGAAATTCTATGTAGTTGGCCAAGTGTTTCTACCACACAGCAAGTGAAGTCCAACAGAGGAAACTAGATAAATTCCATAAATTGTACAAAGATGTCAAGATGGTAAAATCAAATAGTGGACAGAGTTAAGAAAAACAAGATGTAGGCTGCATGGATTGACACAGATAGTAGGAGATAGAGTTAATAAGCAACTTTGTGAAGATTGGAACTTGAATGTAGCATTGCTAGAATAGGCTGCTTATAATCATTTGATAAGTTGAGAACAGTTGAGAACAGTTGAGAACAATTGAAAATTTAGCTTATCCAAACAAAATCATCTGTTTATATTTTCTTGCTCATTAGAAACTGATCCATCCAATATTATAGGTCATAGTTGCATCTGAGAACAATCCTTTTGAGTTGATTAATGCCAGGAACACCGTCCGGTGCATCCCTCGTGTTGTGCAACATAGTAACAGTCTCATATTGACCACAGCCTCAAAACTAGATCGATAATGGATAGCAATATATATACAACTTTACAGAGAATTAGGACATGTACATCAGTTAAATTCAACAAATAAATCAAAACAGCAAAAATGAGAGACGATAATTTATTTTTGTTTTGTTTATTGGTGCATTGACAGAATAATTTTCAAGGGAAGGCACATGGCAACATCATTTCTGTATTCAAGCATATGAATCTTAAAAATAAAAAGATAAAACCAAACCTTCTTCCCCCTCAATGCTGTCATGTTTAGTTGACAAAATGAAGTATCCACCAGGCCTCAGAATCCTATTTATCTCTAGTAGAAGCTTACCCCCTGAAATTTAAAAACAAAAAGTGATATTTTATAAATACTGATGAGACTTTAAATAGGAAACATAATTTAAAAGAAAAAAACAAAATGGAAAAAGGTTACTTACCATCGGAATGCCAGGGCATGGTACACCCACCACAGTGAATAGCATCAAAAACTCCACTAGGAAAAGGAAGTCTTCTTCTTGCAAAAGGGCTAACGACTGTAGCAAAACCACGTTCAAGGGAAACCTGTGCTAGGTCAACCAAATCATCCTTCAAGCCCAATGATAATGTTAATACATCCTTATCAAGAAGAGAGGCCACAAAGCTTGAATCTGCACATCCAACGTCCAGCACTACACGTATGTTCTTTCCCCATTCAATATCTGGTACCATCTAAGAAATCCGCTAAAATTTTAAAAAAGCTAAACAAGGAAAGGATGACAACATAAAGGTTCAATTACCATCCAGTATAGTAGCTTTTACTTTCTAGTTTTCTAGGAAAATTATGATTCCAATCTGTAAAAAGATGTCCATTCTAGGCAGTAGGAACTTAAGAAATCTCTCTTTCAGTAAGCTAATTGCAGAACTATTTTAAACTAGGCCAAACTAAACCAGGAAGAAAAAGCTAGATGAAACATTCATTGAACGACCAGTCACAAGTTCAACTTCCCTTACGAACATGTATAAATAAATGTGCAATGCAATAGTATTATACAAGCTATGTTTTGCACTAAAAATACATTTTGTTTTAGAAGAAGCCCAAAAATATTCGTCATAGATATTTTAAGCTTCATGCAAATAAAAGATAGCAGATAGCAAAAGCTTATGTCATGGAGATCATTCACCATAGCTTCACCAGTTACCAAATTGGCCAAGACGTTAGATGTGAAACACAAATAAGGGGTAGCTAAAGCCTACTTCGAATCTGATAAACAGATTATTATATTATGACAAACACAGAAGGATCTCGTCCAGTAAATTTATGCTCCATTAGCTAATATTTCGAATCATTTATGCAATCTGGAACTTAAGAAGGTGCAGAAGTTCCATAAACTTTGGTTCAAATCATGCAACAAGAAAGTCACCTCTTCAATGGATTCAAGGTAGTGAACAACTCCACCCTGGAATTCAGACTGGTTCTGAGGAAACATCAAATGCTCTCCAGATTCAATCAACCAGTTATGATTCTTCATGTATGCAGCTAGTTTTGGATGAGCCACATTCTTGTACAATATCTGCAAAACAATTATGTTGTCACCATATCAGAATTCAAAATGCATCAGCATATAGTCAAAATCAAAGCATGGAACAAATAAACCTCACGATATACCTTCAACTTGCTCTCAGGCCAGCGCACTGGAGAATCATAACCATCATGGGGAAGGGGAACAAGACACATTGGAGGGGCTTTGGGACAACTCCTCTCACTATGCCTATAGCTCTGCAGCCTTGTGAAGCCACTTTCAACATCAATGCAGGGCATATAATTATGCTTGCTCCTTGTGCTACATAATTTCCAACTATAATGTGCTTTTGGATCAAAAACCGGACCTTTGATCTTTCTCTTCTTACCTTCATTTTTTAATCCTTCATTCTCATTTTCCACCTTCTCCCGAGTCTCTTGATCTACTGATTCATCCAGATCACCATCACCTTCCCTCTCCCCATTTTCTTCTCCTTCACCATCTAATCCTTCTTCCTTGCCATCCACTACTACTACTTCCTCATCTTCATTCTCCTTTTCTTCTTCTTCACCCTGGGATTCCTCTTGTTCCTGATGCTCTGGCTTCTCTTTTGAGACACCACTAGGTAACTTTAATTTTTCCTTTTTCCTATTTGACACATGTTTGTCGTTCTTTTTCCCAGATTTATGTTCATGAGCAGGTAAAGGCAAAGACCCATTAATCTTTTTCTCATCTTTTTTCTTCAAACCAGATTCAACCTTCTTGTTGTGATCACTTGAACGATGCTTTTCTAATTCATTTCCCTTAGATTTGCTTACCCTTGTGCCTGAAGCTACAGGTTCAGCTATGTCATCAAAGCTCTCCCTTTGAACGGTAACAGAAGTAGAAGGAGTAGAGAACATAGACCAAACAAAAATAAAACAAAGACCCATGATTGCCACTGCTGACATCTTCACACAAACCCCATATGGGCGCTTAACTTGGCGACCAAACCGAGCCAAAGCCATGTCTTTCTGTTTCTCAAAGCTCTCGATAATGTTCTTTTAAGTAAGCAACTTAGAAACAAAACAGCACACTAAACAAGGAAAGCTAATATACTCAAATGGGAATACAATAACCCAACTTCCTAAATTAAGGAAATAAGATCTATGCAGATCTTAACTGGAGCTTGAAAAAACTAGGAGCTTTAGAATGAAAGAGAAAAAGGTTCCAATAATGGCTTTCAAAGAAGTGAAACTTTGGAGTACCCAGATTGGCAAAACGGGTAAAAGGAAAGAAAGCTGTTTTAGTTTTTGTTCTATTTTGAAATTAAATCAAAGGTAAAGATGAGAAAGATTGAACCGGCTTTAGGTAGAACTGAAACAGTGTCACCCACCAAATTTATAATTAATTTATCTTACTCGAAGAACTCAAAGTTTTATCCTGAAAAGAGGGTAGATGCATTTTTTCTACTACTATTACTAAAAGTTCCAAATTTATAGCGATGAAAAAGAATACTACCATTAAAAATCTTTGAGGACAAAGAGAAACAAACAGGAAAATGGGAAATATTCAAAAACTGTTGAGATTACGCTGTCCAGACAGGACCAAGGGCTTCCGGCTTCGGTTTAAAGTAATGGCACATCTAAGATGCAGATATCTTAGGCGCTTTCAACGGAAATGTCCCATCTTTGCTATCCCTTGTGTCTTCAAATTTTGACATTCAAGTTGTTCTATTTTCGGTTTTTTTTCTTTTGGGTTGTTTTGGACTTTGTAATGTTCAAAGACTCAAGAATCAAGAGCTTGGATTAGTCTTGAAACTTGGCCCCATATATCTATATGGTCTGGAAAAGGCGGCCCATATATGGCAAACGTGCCAATCTATTTTCATAAGAAAAAAAAAAATACAGTTTGATAAAATATTAAATTTGATTAGAATTTACAATTTTAATTATAAACTAATACTAAGAAATAAGGAAAATAGAAAATATGATTTAAAAATGTTATTTATACGGTATAGTGGAGTTGAACCATAGTGACTCTTCACAGTGTATTATTTGCTAAGGTTTAAAATTTATTGTAACCATTTTTACCACGTTAAAGGTGGCGAGACTACCATTAAAGCAAGCCCTTGTAATCTGAATATTTTAAACCTTGTATGACTTGAAGGCAAAACCGCCGAGGACAAAAACCAAAAAACTTTCATGAAATTATTTAAGTAAAATTTGTGAAATTTTTTTTTTAAAGTGATTTAGTAAAAATTTTAATTAAAAATTTAAACCAATAGATTAATAAAATTTATTATAAAAATTATTTTAAATATTATTTATAATTCAAATTTGATCGATATTTATTTAATAATAAAAATTTTGTTAACATTTTAAATAAAAATATCTATCTAAAAATATATATATCAAAATTTATTAAATTTATTTTAATTTTGTACACTTGATTTATATAATAAAAATCTTTTAATTTATCAATTTTTATTTTCAATTTTAATTTTATTTAATCATTTTCAGTTGAGAACTTCACCTGAGAAACTTCATCTAAATCTTTTCTAACCAAAAGAAAAATCTCAAGTAGTAGTAATACTAGTATTTGGTGTTAACAGGTATGTCCTGATAGATCTTCTTGTAATCAGCTTCCCATTGTCTTCCAGATATAGTTTGCAGTATTTGCATTTGAACTAATACATACAAGAATTTGAAAAATAAAAAATAATAAATAATAAAAAATCTTTTACATTGCTTCTCCATTGTACTTGCCATTTTCACCATTCTCTTCAAAGGAGAGTTCAGTTTCATGCTTAGGTTGCTTTGAAGTACATGGAACTAATAATTTCATGGCGATTTACACAAATCAATCATTATCTATGATTCTATATCGAGGGATGTCTATTTGAGTTCTTATCCATTAAACCAAAAGACAAGCCGTTCTCTATATGATTACATGTATCCAGCAGACAATCGGCCTAAAACCAGGTAGGGTCTGTCGTTGGTTTCTTACCTAGTAACTAAAACTTAGCTCGTATCTTTTCTAACTTAAGAATATATTTCATTATCGCGTCTAAAGAAAAAAAAAAAAAAAAGCTTTAAGTTTCACCTATCCTTTAATGAGTCGTCTCCTGAAGCTTGATGTGTTATGGCAGGTGAACCTGTTCTTGTAGTACTGATAGAGCCTGAAGGGGTTGGTGTGGTACCAGGGGCTGCCAAGTAGGGGGGGACGGGGGACTGTTGAGGAAGATTTCCCTCGGGCATTGATGATGCAGCGCTCGGGATGCTGCTGTCATACGGAGAAGGTTGTGTCGAATTCGAACTCGGAGCATTGTCCCAAGATGTGTGCATGTTGATCTTTATCCTGCATTGTCAAGAATTGCTGAAGTCATGGTTTTGACTTCTCTGATGCTTATGCTACCCAACTATAGTCATTTGCTTGCAATTGCATGGAACACGTGGTCAGATCTCTGCTGAACTAAAATCTTTAATCTTTCCATTTAAAAAAAAAAATTTTCTTTATTCTTTGCTAGAACCGAAATCAGAATCATAGTATGGGTCCGGTGGAAGGGACAGAAATTAACTGAATAGCATGATTCACATACTATGACATCAACTTTAACAAGATAAGATACCAAATGAACATGTAGAACTGGTGAGATTTACCTGTTGTGGATATTGACGTATTCATCTGTCTCATCTAATATCTCCTCCTGTCAGAAATATGCATGGGCAAAAGAAATTGAGGGATAATTCCTATAAACCATTTTAGCATACTGGCAGTAGTTGTTATCAGGCCACAACCAGAGGAAAAGAGATCAATATCATTACCATGGGGAAGCTGAGAAACCCATATGAAGTTCCCAAAGATGACTGGTCCCTTAACTCCCCCAGAATGCATGATTCCAAGGTTCAGATGTTTACCTGAAGAAGTTCTTCAATAACATCCTCCATGGTGATAACACCAACAACCTCTTCATTTGATGGAAATTCAGGAATAGGAGCATTTTCAACGTCCAATATGCAGTATGAACAACCTCTGTGCCGCTTCTTAAAGGCAAAAGTAGCTGGTGGATTCTTCTTTGTCTGTTGACCTCCATTACTGTTAGTCACAGGTGTCTGAACATCTTGTGAGTCGAATTTAAGCCCTGATTTTTGGGTACTTACACCAACCTCGCGATCATCTGGAAATACATGAAGATTGTTTACATTTACTCTACAAGAACCAGATCAGGCAACCTAATGAAGGTATGCTCAATCAACCTTACAGAATCAATCACGACAAACTCCTAACTAGTTAATGATGCAATAGTAACTTGGGAAATATCAGTGAGAACTGATAGGTGCCATTTCTAAGAAAAACTTATGCACTGTGCACGAAATCAATGGAAAAAAAAAGATCAAAGAAAAAGGTAAAGTCATTTGTACAGCATTGACATTGATGACTTCAGGTTCAACATGCCACTCAGAAATAAATCACATAAATAAACAAATTTTGTTAAGGATCATGAAATCATAGTGGGTAAAGGGTACAGTGTACAGATAACCTCCCATCGACATTGTAATATAAACCTACAACTAAGTTCTAAAGATAAACAGTTCAGCTTTGCAGAACTAACCAAGATAGGAAGATGGTTGTGGCTAAAACAATATACTAAAAATTTTTTAGGGAATTATTCTGTCGTAATATGTATATACTCACCTTTTCTTGATGTCTCAGGTTCACCTCTTCCCTTCTTACAGCTGTCCTTAAACTCAAGTCGTTCACCCTCTTTACCTTTCTTCAATGATTCTCTGCTCTCATTCAGATCCTTATATACCACCGCGATGTGGCTGTGACCCTTTTGGAATTCATTAAGAATATCATATAGTGGCATGTCCTCTGATACCCTGCAGGGTGAATAAGAAGCATAGAAGAATATATTTTAGCTCCTTACGTGCAGTAGGGGAAACAGAAATAAAAATTAAACTGACTGAAACAAAGTTAAGTCTAATTGATACAACAGTTCAATCTAATATCCGCACCTCTTTTCCACCTATTTATGGACTAAAAAGATATCCTATAACAAAAAATAGGAGATACCGTACCGCGGGATTTTTCTTATGATCATTTTTTTGAGAGGAACTGGACCTTCTGAATCAATTGTTAAAAGATTTTTAACCTGCACGATTCAAGCCAGACCAAGAAGAAGAATCCACATATTAAAGATAGGAAAACAGAAAAGAAGTTCAAGTAAAGCAATGTGGAAGAGAAGAAAACAAATATGCTTTCATTTATATTATAGAAGTCGATAATTTTAAAATGGGAGAATGGCTTTGTTGGGAACTATTAGACAAAAAGGTGCAGAAAATTAAGAGAAAAGTTCATCCATGCAGGAGATAGTAGGAATTTGATACAACAGTTCAAGCAACAGAAATCAATATCATGCATTATGAATTGTACAAATACAATGTATTTTAAAAAATTATACCCAAGATAGGATAAATATACAATGAACAAGCAGATAAGTGTTTAAACAAAGATTTCAAGTTGAACTGTTAGACTGTGTATAGAAGCAGCCAAGCAAATAACAGGGCCTTTTTAAGATCCCTCCAACATGGTTTACATGATACTCATAGCATTCAGCAAAGCTCCAAAGAAGCAACACGACATTATCTAACTCCAAGGAATTGCCAGTAACATAAGCAAGCAATTGTAGCTCTATTTCAAATTACTAATGCATACACTTATTTGACTTTCCTTAAAGCATGACTACCAACTTTGCTGTCATGACCTTTTAGATCAAGAAAACCACATTTGATTATCAATGGCTATTAGTCATGCCATTGCAACTCACTGCCTTGTTGTTACCTTATTCAGCATCTTGTCTCTCAAGAAAGTATACAGACTACCGTTGTTAACAATAAAATAGCAACAAAAATAAAGGATAAAGATTTCTATTAAAAGTTTTCAGAAATAGAGACAGGACAATGGGAGGTCAGATCACATGACCAAGGAATAAAAATGAACAGATGGCAAATAAATATAAAGTATCCTAGCAAGGAACTCTCATAAAATGATAGCTTATGCGGAGAAAAGAAATTACCAGAACAAGTCCAATTAAATTTCTTGGGTTTCCATAATAAACTGGAACTCGGCTATGACCCATGGTCATTACTTTATTCAACGTTTCCCTGAATTGCAAAGAGAAAGAGAAAGAGAAAGCTTAGAACACAAGAAGAGTGGAAAAATCCTAGGCAATACGCTGGAATCCACAAACCCACAAATCAAGAGTTGTATCCAGATCAAGGGAAAATGCATTTGATATTGGCGTCATGGCAACTTTGGCAGTCTTTTCAGTCATTTCAAGTGCCCCAGCAATGATAGTTGTCTCATCATGAGTTAGATCCCCACCTTTCCCAGCCTAAAAAAGGCATATATTTACGGACCGATAAAGAAAAGCTATGGAGTGCATAAAACATTTAAACAAAAGCCACAAGGTGGATGTTGCTTGTACAAATTCGTAGAAACCGGAATTTGAACATGATTGCCACAAGGTCCTAAACTTCAAAATTCAAAACCTTCTGAGTTAAATTCAATACCTCATTGCCATGAAAATCCACAAAAGTCTTTAACTCTGCCCTCCGTAGGAGGACAGCATGTCCCTTACCCAACATCCAGTCCAAAACCTATAAAGTACATGACATTTATTAAGAAATTATAAAACATAAAACCCGGTTTCAGGAGATTATTAGTAGCAAATTTAGTTTCCAAATTCAACAATATCTAATAACAACCTGTAGGAAGCACAAAGCACAGCAAATTCCAAAATCACAACAACATAATAGAAAATCCATTTATGATTATACCTTGCTAATTGGATAAGAAATTGGTAAGAAAAGAAAAAGAAGAACACGGACAAGAGGTGCCATTGCTGCTCCAACTTTCAAGCCATATCGAGTACAAACAGCTTGTGGCAATATCTGCAGTCAGATGTACAAGCATATATTAACAAAAATAGTGCAACTTGCTCAAAAAGATGGTGACTTCAACCTGTTAACAACCAACCTCTCCAAACATGAGGATAAGAGTCACAGAAATCAAAATTGCAGCCCATGGAGGCACAAGCTTGTCCAGAAAAATGGGAAGAGCCTACATGGAAGGAAAGAAATTAAGGGAACAAGCAACAACATTGAAGAGAGAAAACGATAGCAATCGTTTAGTGTAGCCACCTCCATTGCCAAGGAGTTTCCGATCAGCAGAGTACATAGCAGAAGATGCTGATTTTTTACCACTGGAAATATCTTTGCTGCCAAAAAGAAAACAAACAAAACTTCTGATTTTAGAAACACATCTAAATGAGAATCTCACCTATATGCCTACAAGATCAGCTCACACGCTAACTCAAAACTCAAGTGAGTTAACTCGGTACCCAATTCTCCGTGAAACTGATTATTACTTTTTCTATTTGCTTCTTTGCTTCCAGAATCTAAAATAGTCCAAAGCAAATAGAAAAAACAACCAAAACAGAGTCGTCAAAAGACTCTGAACTCAGTAACCGACCTACTCCCTTCTGCATCTACGTCATGCAATCTGCCTAATATACTAGAATCAGAGTGACAGGACTCGGTGATTGGACTCAATTCCTAAAGCCAATTACCCGTTTTTGTCTTAACTCGCTAGACATAAAACTATATATGATCAACCCCCTATCATTGATAGATTAGTAGAACAACCAAAGCATCCATTTTAGCTTAGTAGAACAACCAGAGCATCCATATTTAAAGCACCGATAAGCTATTCAATAAAACAGTGTTAAAACCCCCGCAATCACCACTTATATTTTATACAAACTGGGTTGACAAAATTAAAAGAACAACTAGTGGAACAATGAAAACAAGAAAATTCCAATCAATCACTCATCTAAAAGGAGAAAGTATAGAGGGATGGTTAGTGGTTACCGGCATGGATACGATCTTGAGGACGGCCAGACTTGATGAGGACTTCAAGGTCGACGAGACCCAGAGACATGAGACCCAGTGTTAGCCCAGCCATCAACCCAGCAAAACACACCAACCCCACTATTATCAACAGATACAATGAGAATTCAGCCCCACAACAGGACACGTCTGAAGCCATTTTTTTTCTGTTTTACTCTTTCTCTTTCGCTCTGTTTATGTTCTCGATTCTTTTGAAAGTAGCAAACAAGGAAATTTGGGTTTCAGGAACTTTGATCGGATAGAGAAAAAAGTGGAAACTTGAGTTTAAGAAATGGACCAATAATTTGCTCACGTGTGAGTTTAGTTTACTGCTTTGGAATTCAGACACGACCAGCATTTCATTCAGTCCACAGCCTAGCATCAGTCCTGTCCACTTGATTACGTATCTCTGCAACTTCTATTTGCTTACGTTTAACCAATCTGTCCATCTGGATTAACCTTTTATTTTATTTGAATATTAAATTCTAATATAACGATTAAGATATTGTGGTTTTAAAGTTTTAACAGTGCTTGGGGTTGGAGGCTTCTAAATGCCATGGAAGGCCATTGTTAATGCAAGAATGATTGAATTGTGTTTTATTTATTTTTAAATTTAAAGATTTAATTCTCAAAATTTTGTCTTTTTATCAAATTTGTGGATCTGTTAAAATATTAACCTTAGTAATCTGCACAACAAAAAGCTAATAATGTTTATTCAGTCTCCTTTTTATGGTATTATTTTAACTATCAACTTGTTTTATGAAATCACATCGTCCAAAATCCAAATGCTAGTCTCCAAAGGGATGGTAATAACAATAATAGTTTTTTTTTTTTTTTCAATAAGAAACTTCATTCGAATTGTAATAAAAAATTTTGAAATTTAGGATGTAAGTTATAACATAAGAGATATGGCTTTGTTGTATGATGAAATAAAAAAACAATTTATCATTTTTATAAAAAATACAAAATAAATTATCAAAATAAAGAAACTTCTTATCCCTTTTACAAATTTCAAACCTTTAAAGAAATAGTAATCTTAAGTAATATACATTAATTATAAATGCAACTACCACTTGAATTTATGGCCGCCTTGATCGGTGTCCTACATGTGGGATGCATCGAACTTTTTCCAATTTGCATAAAGCTAAAGTGGACCCAAACCATCTTTGGAATTTTTGAGTTCTGAGTTCTGAATGCAATTAAACCACGTTTGTTAGATTAAATGCTAAAAAATTTTATTTTTTTAAGTAAAATTTTAGTTTTGAATCTTTTAAATAAAAAAATAAATTTAAAAAAAATTATTATTTTTATGAGATCTGATTCAATTCGATTTCGAATTAATCAAAATTTAAAATGATTATTAAATGGCAAAAGATCTCAAAAAAAAAAAAAAAAAACAACTAAATTCCTCAAGCTAAGAACATTATGGTGCCAACGCTGATAAGGTTTGCTACTCACCCGGGAACTTAGCCTTCTGGTCCCAAGAATCCTAACAAATAAATATATAGTAATATGTCATTAGTTAAATTTTGTGGCCATGTCTAGGTCTGGGCAGATGGAAAATTGCGATCTAAGCTCGGCTATTTAAAGCCTGTTAACTGGTCCCGTGGTCCGACGAATTGTCTTCCAATTTAATGTTTCACCGACCAAACACTGAATCTGAGCTGTTGCTGGCCCAACGGTGCCTCTGGGGGGTAGACCATGAACCCACTGTCCATGACTGAGTTTAAAGCGTGACGAATTTATGCTCCAGGATCGAACTATTTTTAAGCTTCACCTGTTCTTGCCCTTGTATTTCTTTATATCAAGCAACAACAGCTGTTTCGTGCGAAGCCAAGGGTGGGATGCAATCACGATTGCTATATGTGAACAGAAGACTATTGAGTAACTGGAAGTAGACTTGGCTTCCTTCGGCCTTTTTGGTCAAAGGGTACCAGGCTTCTTTATTGCTATTCAACTTGGTAGCCACCTCACATCTAATATCTAGTCCTCCCCCATGGTGGGTGGGACAGCCATTCATTGTCGCCTTTTTCTTTCCCATAAGGGCAGAGAAGAGAAGGAAAAGACAGGTAAAATAAATGGTAGCCCTCGTGAGTTACTTCATTACGTTACTTTCCATCAAGCCAAGGAAGCCGGATATGAATACGATTGAGCACTTTTCTCAAACGTTGGTTTTATGTGTGGCTCTCTTTTCTTATGCCCTCGCGCACACTTTTTTGGTTCTTCCATTAACGTTTTGTAATATATATTGCATTCATTATCTCATTCACTCCTAATAGTAGACTTTAAAATTCGGTGTTATGGACAATTCGGAACAAGAAAATGCCTCGCCAGAAGATCACGAACTGGAGCTAAAGCTTCCTCACTTGCCAATTACGGCAACAGTTCGAGAACTCTATGTAAAGATTGTGAATGAATGGGATTCCCTCAGAAAGTCAGCATGCCAAACGGCGGCTGGAAAAGCCATGTGGAAGCATGCGATCGATGACCCTCTTGTAGTCCCTCTTGTAGTCGTGCTGGCAGGATAAACATACCTAAGAAACCTTCACAAGAAGATTAAGAAAGATCGCCACAACAATGCTCGAGAAATTTCAAGGGTGATTCTTGCCGTTGGAACCCTTTGGTTTGATTAAAATTGAAGCTGCTCTTGATGCCTTTGGTGGTGAATCTGTTCAATAAGCTCCGCAACTTGCAAAGGTCAGTAGACACCCACCCAGGGGGACAATGGAACCCCATGCTGTCGCTTGTATTTGGTGCAGGCTTCTGGTTCATCAAATCAAACAATTTCCTTGAGCAAAATCCCAATGTAGTACAGAGATCATATTCTCAAACATACTAGTAGTTGTAACGTAGATGCAGGAATAATTATTTGTAATGTTGCTCATGCAATACACAATTCAATTGAACAACATGCAGCAACATGACTTTTGAGCTATATAATGATTCTTTAAATTGTACAAGCATATACTTCGGCAAAAGTAGTTGCTCAACCATTTCTCTTTTCAGGAATATCTGAGGATAAGCATCCTCCGTTAGTTTGTCCCAGAGAAAAAACTCCTAAATTTTGATAGATCACAAACAAATTCTATTTATTGTACAATCTGTGAGGAAAATATGTATGAACGTATTCCTCTTTTTCTTTATCAAATTTCAAACTTTGATCTTGCATAGCCTGGGAAGAGCAAATAGTAAAAGGAATCAATCGAACATTCACTTCCTACCAATTAAAAAGGTAGCCATATAAGTTCAGCCTAAATCTGCAGATGGAAAATATTCTCCAGTCACAAGATTCTCCTTGCCAACTATCTGATGTCTACTGGAAATATTTTTGATGCAGAAAGCAAATGAAATAAGAACTAAGATTTCAGAACTCACAAGCCTCCATTATCAATGGAAATTCAGCAGGTTAGAGAAGGGGTAGAACTAGTACCACCAGAATGTTATTCATTATGTTAGTTATGAAATTTTAATTATGTAGCCTAAGTGGTTTTGTCAAAGGTGCATAGGGTGTATCGTTCATCCAGAACTTGATGTAAAACTATATAAACATTTTCTTGCTCTAAAGCCAAGGTAAATGATATGAATTTGAAGAATTTGCTCATATTATAGATTGTAGCAAAGAATGGTCAATAAAGGCTTGAACAATGAAACAAAAGACATGTGAATGGGAAATTAAACAAAATTTACAACAAAGATAAAGTCAAATAACATACTTAAGCATTTTGTATAGTCTACCATGCTCCGGGTGTAAAATCTCCAAGCATCATATAACACCATAAAATTTCAGTTACAAAAGGAAGCCAGCATGGTCATGCTTCGAGGCAGTCCTTAACCCCCTGCTCAAATTTGTCAAGGGAAGTTATGGTATCCATGAGCGCATCTGCAACCCTTTGTCTGCCGAAAAAGAAATACATTGCAAATATAAGTAATCAACAATTGTAATCTGGTAATGGTAAAAGCTGTCACAGAAAGGAGCCAGAATCGCTTCACATTATTAGGAACGAACTCAATCTACATAGGTTACATTACGTTTGAAATGTAAAAGCATACCTACTGGAAGCAACTTGAATATCGCTTTCATTTGCCAAACTATTAAGTGAGGTAAATGAGCTGCCAAGAAAAAAAAAACAATAAACATTAACAAATTATGTTGACACTAAAACGAATATGCACTTGACAGGAAAACACATGAGGGGATAATTTCGAAACCACCAGGCATTGGATCTCTGGGAGAAAAAAGGAAAATGATGAAAAATGCTTTAAAATTATCTGGATATCAATGTTCTTCCAACAAACATCCCAAAAATAAAACTCCTCCAAAAGAAAAACATGCTACAATATATGCAGAGAAGGAAATATCTACGGCATTTCCTTCTATATTTATAGCAAATTAGCAGCCAGAATTAATTCTTGAAATTATTCAAAGATATTTTACATTTTCAGATTTCAAGCAATCAAGGTATGTATAACACGATTATGAAAAGATTAATAGGAACATTAATAGGATACTTTATAAGATCATCTAGCATAGCTTCAGCTTCCAGCTTAACAGGGTTCTTATCCTCAAGCAAAGAAGAAGCATTCTTCACAATCAACTGGAATGTGCAAACCTGAGAGTCACAGAAATTTGAACTACAAAATTATAACCTAAAATTAGGTCAAATATTGGGAATTCATTTCTTCCTCTCTGATTTTGTTTTAAGTTCAAATTTAGTGAATAAAACAAGGACAGTATCTATCTATATTAAATTTTATGTAACCAGAAAGCCTAAACAATTTTTGACTTAGAATCAATGGACAGTGCGTTACAAATTCGATTTTAATCTAAGGACAAACCTCCATTCCGGCATTGGCTTGAAATGCAACAAAGGAATTTCTCTATTTTACAAAGCAATCCTAGCGGCGGATTTCAAGAGCTTTTGAACTCCTCTAAGTCCTTATCAGAATTAGTTGATTCCTTATCCACTATTCAAAAATAGGTATTAAAACAACCAAAATTAATCAAAGAAACACAACAAACAGATTCGCATAATTGCAGAAGAGAAGGGTAGAGAAATAGAAATGTAACGTACCGGGCAAAAGGTAGGCAGAGCGAAGGCTTTGCCGAGACGCACCGATTGGCGCCAATAGGAATTTCGAAGACTTCCTTTTTCCCTCTTTAAGCCAATCCTTCGGTCCTGCTGCGCATAGCAACAATCAGTCGTTAATAAAAGAAAAATCAATGAAAAAGAGAGAGAGAGAGAGAGAGAGAATTGCTCACAAATTCCAAAGGAGAAGGCAGAAGCATGAGAGAGTTGGAAGATGGAAGGAAAGAGAGAGATCAGAGAAAGAATAGCAGCGTCTCTGCGAGAGATTCGATTTGATTTTGAAAATGTCGGCGTACATTTTGTCGATTTTCTTGATTGAGGTTGACGGAGATGTTTTGATTTGAAATGGGAGGTTTAAGAAGGATGGATGGGACGCCGGCGACAGTGGAGAGGGGGGAGCTAGAGATAATGCGGAGTGTACGGAGCGGCATGGCTTATATAGCAAGTACCAGCGAAAAGTAAACGACCACTTTTAATGCCCAATTTGTAAGGTCTGCTCAAATTAAAATCAAAATCCTAAACCCAAACCCTCAAATTTAAAATCCTAACAGAAAGCCCACTGATTTTGTTTTCCCCTTGATCTGTCTCGATGTCCTCGGGTCAAGCCTGTGCAGGCTCCACTACTTAACAACTCAAATTTCAACCAATATTGGTGATATAATGGGCCTGACCGTCATGAAGAACATTTGTTACAGAAAATTATATATATATATATATAATATTTAAACATTGAATATTTATGAAATGTCTTTGTTTCATTCCAACCTTTCATCTCCAAAAGTAAAAAAATAAAAAATAAATAAATAAATAATAAATAAATAAATAAAAGATGAATTTCATATTTAATTAAATTAATTCATATAATTATATTTAAGATATGCTATTTAATAAATCTAAATTCAAATATTGACATAAATAATTTTTTATTTTATTTTTAATCTGAGATCCTATTTTTAAAAAATCCTAAACAGGATCCCATTAATCTACAAAATTAACCATGTTTTTCTTTAGTCTTTGTAGTTTAATTAAGCGAATGTCCTATTGCCTAATTCGTATTAAAAGTACATTTATGTATCTCATAATTCGATTGAAATTTTTAAAGAAAGGAACTGATTCCATTTTTTTTTTTTCATCTTTTGCATCATTTAACATAATTTTTGATCACGTTTATCATGCCAGGTGAAAATATAAAACTATAAAATCCAATTAATTCAATATCGTCATCACATCTGGTTGTTTAATTAGGCAACATTGATTGACACAATCTGCTATCGACCTGCAATTTATATCATATTTTAATGGGTCCATATCATTAGTTATTTTTTATTATAATTTTATAATTATTTAATCAAAACAAATAAGTACATTGACTCTATTATTTGTAAATGTGAATTTTTATTTTAACACAATCAATTATTATAATAAAAAAATAAAAAAATCTCACATGCCAATTATACAAAATATTATTCTATTATGTTAATTTTTTATAAGAAATATTTAATTTTTTATCAACTTAATCAATTCCATTATATTTTAATTCTCGATTCGAGACTTTTTTTCACGTGAAGGAGAAGGAAAATATGTTGAATTGAAATAGCTCCTTTTATCCAAAAATACTGGACAGGATTCTTTATGTTGTCAGCAGCAAAGAAACAGAAATGGAAAAATAAAAAAATCCTCAATTAAAATCCCACCTCTAATTTAAAAAAAAAAAAAAAGTCCATAATTCACCACAAATCAACCGATTTTCCGTGGTGAAAAGACGACAAAAGAAATAGGAAACGCATTTGCCAAACTTTTTCACGATCCACTAAGCACGTAATGATGCCACGTGTCACTCATCTTCATCATCTCTTTCATTTCCTCCTAACGTTTCATTTGCCCCCGGTGGAGTGAGTGAGACAATTGAGATAAAGAAGAATTTAATTCCCCCCCTTTACAGTCACCAATATGGATGATCCAGTTCGGATTCCAATTCCAGATGGGAATAATAATCCATCTTTTTCCTTTCCCCAAATAAAGGAATTTGTTCAATTTACTTGTTAATGTCTCGTCTCGTCGTGTCAGTTGCAACCTTATTGCCAACTTGTGACTGCACATTCCCAATTTTTTCGTCATCGGAATCAGATTCTCTGCTTTCATCGATTCCACTTAGCTTCTTCGCTCTCTCCCCTCGAAATGCTTTTTTAAATCCACCATGCGAATTCCCAAGAAACCTGTTGCCTTTTGTCTCTCCCTCTTCTCCCCTTACTTTCCCACTGCTTTTTCCTCCCGGATTCTTCGCTTCTCCTCTGGATTTCCCGCCAAAATTAGACCCATCCACGCTGCAGGTTACTTGCGACTCTTTTAATCTTTTTTTTTTTCTTTTGGTTTTGCATTTAACATTTGCATTTTTGGAGTTTATTTTCTTTGTTTGGTTGTTGTTGCGGTTGAGGATAAGGAAACTGTTTGTTTGGTGGAAATTTGGGGATTAGAGTGAAATTAATTAAGTTGGAATTGGATTAGTTTTGATTGAGAAATTGGATTTTTAGGTGTTACTCGGAGCATATGTTGGAAGATTCTTAGGCTCGGAACTTAACGTGGTGCACTGTGTGATCTTTTGATTTGACACCTGAGGTAAGATGTCAAGGTTTTTGTCTAATTGTCTCTAGGAAAATCTTACTCTTTACTGTTCTTGATTATTAACTTTTTCTTTTTTCTTGAGAAGGAAACAGTAGATGTTATGAAATTTGTTATAACTAATTGACTGTGTAAATTGAGTAGTCAGAAAGAAGCGAGTCAATTATAGTCAACCGGCTGGTATTTGTATTCCAAGATTTTCATTCTCGTATGAATCTGGCCAAACCGTTAAGGTGGCTTGAGTTTTGAGTTGTGAACTATTTGATCGATTTTAACGACTTCAGCTATGTATTTTCACAGTTAATTGTCTAAAATGATTATCAACAAAAAAAGTCTGAGTTAGGCTCATGCTACTTTTAGCACTGCGAGTAATATTCATTCTTCTCGGGCATGAGGTCTGCTGTTGTCATAAGAGACATGTTATGGATTGGACTTTATTATTACCATTAAGGCTAACCCATTTGTCTCCCTGCTAATTTATTCAGGGGCTAATCAGTTGCACTCTCGCTACTCAATGGACCATAGTGCTGGGACCATGTTAGGTGACCAAGCATCACAATCTCATCTCATGGTGAACAGCAATGGTGGTGAGAAACAACATGTATGGTCGTCTCCTGAAGGAGGATGTAAAATTGATATAGGAAAACAGATTTTCTGCAACAGATCATTGAATATGAGGAATATCGTTGCTGTTGGCTTTGATATGGATTATACCTTGGCACAATACAAACCTGAAACTTTTGAGTCCCTTGCATATGAAGGCACAATAAAAAAATTGGTTTATGATTTGGGCTATCCTCAAGAGGTTTGTCAACTTTCTATATTTTGTTCATCATCTGAGGAAGAATGTTGCCAAAGTTCGAGTATCTGTAGAGGCTTGCTAATGAAGATAAATATTATGCAGTTACTGGAATGGACATTTGATTCGAAGTACATGGTTAGAGGCTTGGTTCTAGACAAAAAGAGAGGCAACATCTTAAAGGTGGACTGAATTTGCACCTTTTCTGCTATAGCTTCTCCCGATCCAACTTGACTTAACATCTCTCTCTTTTCTGCTTTGCTTGAATATGATTTGTATTGATGGTTGTGTCTTTAACAGATGGATCGACATAAGTATGTGAAAGTAGCATACCATGGCTTCAGAGAGTTGTCCAAGGAAGGCAAAGTTGGCACCTATGGGAATACACTCATACGAGATTCGTTTGATGAGCCAGATTATGCCCTTATTGATACACTGTTTTCACTAGCTGAAGCGTACTTGTTTGCTCAACTTGTTGACTTTAGGGACAACAATCCTGGAAAAGTTCCAGAGGGTGCTGAGTAAGAAATTTTAGTTACTGTTTCTTTTAGAACATTTTGTTCATTTAAAAATTTTTGTATTACTGTTTTCTTTCTACTTCTCTATTGGAAAAACCCTAATAATGTTTGGAGAGTTGTAATCAATTAGTTTACCATTTTTCACCATCAGTGCAATAAGAAGTTACCGCATGCTAATAGAAGCATTTAAGATCATATTAAGTTTGAAAGTGGCACATTTTGGTTGGATTATTGATGTGATACAGCTCTATAGTTGCTGAACATTAATATAATAAAATGCTCCATTTTTTGATTTTTTTCCCTGAATTATAATAGTGGGAATTATTAGGTATTTATATCCATTTCTCTACAAGGTTTTGTATATTAAGCAAAGCTGTCTATAAATGATGCTTTCAGTTATTCTCGCATGTACAAAGATGTTCGGGCTGCTGTTGATTTGTGCCACCGGGATGGAACCTTAAAGCAAATGGTTGCACAGGATCCTAAAAGGTAAGTTGAATAGTGGCATTAATTTTATAATTTAGGTTATAACTAAGTTTAAGAACAGTTGTGAATATCTATTTAAATTAACAGGCAACTCGCAAAATGGGGTAGATTGATATTTATTTTAACATAATTTTATAATGTATCTTGGACCATTTTTCATTTAGTTGTTTTCCTTTTAATTATCAGGTATATCAACGAGGACACCTCTATAGTACCTATGCTCAAAATGATGAGGGATTCTGGCCGTTCAACATTCTTGGTGACAAATAGGTGTTTATCTCTTACTGATTTCAAATCTTAATTATTTAGGCATGAAAAGTAGTATGGGATTCGTGCAAATTTTCTTGTCCTTTTTTCTTCAAAAGGAATTTGCCTTAAGTTGGAAGAAAACATTTGGTACCAATGCTACAGATGGTTTTGCTTTCATACTAGGTGATTGTTGAGGTTTTTGGTTTTTTATTGAAAGTGTTTATATTTATATGCATCTTTGTATTACTATATCTGACTTCCATTTCAAAAAGTCTGTTTGGAACAATCAGTCAATACTTGATTACATCTCTTGCAGTTTATGGGACTACACAAATATTGTAATGAATTTTCTCTGTGAATCCTGTACATTGGATGGTGGTATCACTTGCAATTTTGATTGGCTCCGATATTTTGATGTTGTCATCACTGGCAGGTCATGTTCTTTTATTTCATATTATATATTGTCAATGTTGGGCTTTCATCATTTGCACTTGTGAATTAGTTTCAACCACACTCAACATGATCCTTGTATTACTCTTTAGTTTTATTCATATATATAGCACACGATATGTGGTTTATCCTTTGATTTCTGATGTTGAAGATCAAAGTATCCATACAGTGCAAAACCTGGCTTCTTCCATGAAGACAACCGTGCCAATCTTTTTGAGGTTGAACCTGAGTCTGGAATGCTCCTCAATACTGACAATGGCACTCCTATGCCTCAGGTTAGGTGAAATATGCTATTCTGATTCTGTATTCACTCAGTATATGATTTTGTCCAATGGTCATTTGGTGATTTAAAGTTTAAACTTATCTTTGGATAAAAGGTGGGAAATACTTCACCAAAAGTGCTACTGAAGGGATTAAACAAAGGTTGCCGAGTCTTCCAGGTATTTTGGGTATTATCTAGTATTAAACAGTGGAGTTTTCTATTTGAGTGTACGTGAAATAAAATTACAAGCTTTGCCAGATTTATCTTGGACTATTTCAAAGGTAGAAGTAGATATTATAAGATAACAACTAAAAATTTCTTTGAACTTGTCAGGGAGGCAGTGTTGGTCATCTACATAAGTTGCTCTCTATAGAGTCAAGTTCACAGGTGATTCATTGTTTGATGCATTAATGAATCGTTGACTTCCTAAGTTGTTTTATATGGATCGTTGTAATGTTTGACTTGTTGAATTTCATAGTAAACACTCTACAAAATTTTGGTCCCCGAGTTAATTGATGGCTTTAGTTTTAAATGTTTGTCTTTCATAATCTAATCAGTTTGATGCTTCTATTAGGTTCTTTATGTTGGGGACCATATCTATGGAGATATTTTGCGCAGCAAGAAGGTTCTTGGTATGAATTTTTACATCTTTGTTCCCCATAGTGATTAATTTGGTCATTATTGTTTAATTTAATCATGTGAGATCGGACCTTTGACTGTATCTAAATGTGAGAATTTAGGTCAATGGAAAATAAAGAGGTTTTGTAGTATGCAGTACTATTAGTTGGAATTTCACTGCAAATATTCTTTTTTCTTTTATTTTTTGCCAAGACTGCAAATATTCAATAAATTAAATTAATTAAACAATTGAAAAGCAAAAGTATCCAGGAAGAATATATCCAGAATCCAATGCAATATTCATTCGAGAAAGAATTCCTTGATTTTTGGAGTTTTTATATTTGCTGCATATGCATTCAATGTTTTCTCGTGATTTCAATGTGTTGTTGGGACTTAATCGTCCTTGTGTCATGAAAATTTATATATGTCATCATTATTTTCAGTGATAGTTGCATGATGATCATTGCTGTTAAAATGAACAAATGTCATAGTTTTGTATCTGTATGTTTAACATTTTTCCTTTTGTTGCATAAGTGATTTTAATTCTGTAATTTATCTATGATTAGGATGGAGGACAATGCTTGTAGTTCCAGAGCTTGAGAGGGAGGTTGAATTGCTTTGGGAATTAAGAGATATGCGAAAGGTGGGTTTTACATGTTGGATATGATGTTAAACTGAGATAGTGTTCATGGTATTTCAATTTTATATCATATTGTTTGGATAATTTATTGAGACAAGTGTTGTAATAATAATTAATACCATAACTTGGATGATACCCTAGTAATGAACAGTTTGCAGGCTGCTTTTCTCTTGATGGTAATTTGTTATCACAATCCATAGCTCTGTTTTCTCTGTTTGGTACTTCTAATAGTCAAATAAGTTTTGAGGGAATTGTGCACAAAAAATGCGGAAGTATTGGAGATAATTGTTATAACTTGAGTCTTTTTTTTTTTTGGCCAAAGTTATAACTTGAGTCTATGAGAGCTGTACCTTCCTATTCTGATTGATCACTAGGATATTATTCCCTTTGCAACTAACCCTAACACTTTCATGCAGCAATTAAGGTTATTGAGGAATGAGCGTGATCTTATTGAAGACCAAATTCATCATTTGAAGTGGTCTCTCAAGTAAGCACCTATTTTAGCATTCAAAACTATGTTACCAGGATCACTACCCTTCTCTGTATTTCACATATAATGGATTTATGAGAAATTATATATTTTAACCCCCCGATTTGATTTCTTTGACAAATGTTGATAGTTTTATAAAAATTTCTTCTATTTTTTTTCTCATTAATTTCGACTTGATCACATTAAATCATTTACTATTCCATTGCCTTCATGTGAAGAGGACAATGGAGAATTTTCTGCTTCACTTTAGCAATTTTTGGTTATTATTATTATTTTGCTTTGGTTCCTTTTCTTCCCTTTTGAACAAAGAGGTGCATTCCTGTTGTTCAGGTTTGAAAGTCTTGGTGATGATGAAAAGCAGAAAATGACTTCTTCTCTGGGTGAACTACAGGTTAGGCCATAAGACCTTGATGTACTTTATGTAGTGTCAGATGGATGATTCGAAGCTTTCTTATGATTTTATTTTCAATTATTTCTTACAACAGTCCCAAAGGGATCAAGTGCGACTTGCTCATCAACAAGCTCAACGGGAGTGTCACCAAAAGGTAGAGGAAACGTTTTTACATCTTGGGACTATTTTTAGTTGCTAGGGGGGCTATCAAGTTAAAGCAACCTTTGAATAAAGGATACATACAATGACTTTTTTATTTGTTAACAAAACAGTTTCATAAGATCTGGGGACAACTCATGAAGACTGGCTATCAAAACTCTCGCTTCGCTCATCAGGTAAGACTGAACCGTCACCTCTTGATGGAGTTTTAGAAGGATTTGATAAAAATTGCTGTGTGCTTTAACTGTGAAATATGGCTAGTAATTTCAATTTCCTTTACATTTTGTCATGATGCAGGTTGAGAGATTTGCCTGTCTTTACACAAGCCAAGTGTCCAACTTAAGCTTGTATTCCCCAGACAAATACTATAGACCAAGTGAAGATTTCATGCCTCACGAATTTCATATTCTTCCTTTGTGAAATCTGTTCCGAAGAAGCAAAATAACTTTTCTTCTTTAGTGCTTTTGAGGCGTAAAAATAAAAGCCTCAGCCTCTTCATTTTCTTGTCGTCTCTCACAACGATGGCTTCGTTGTAATTATTTTTGCTCATTTGTAATTCTCACTTGATGCTTGTAGTCATCGATCCTCGATAAATAGATTTATTTTGTTGGATGTACACGAGACCTCTGCTTGATTATGAAAGCTCGAAAATGGCTTCACTGTCAATGGCATGTCTGAAACTTCAATGTTGGTGATAGAGATAATATTTTGATTTATTAATCTTCACTTTCAATGGTATGTTATGTTGTTCGAATATTTGACATTTTTAGCGGGGGTATTTCTTGTATTTTTTATATTATAATTTTGTAATTAATTAATCATAAATAATTTAATTATGTATAAGTCTAATATTTAAATCACAAATAAATTAATTATGTATAAGTCTAGTATTTAAAAGGTATGGATTTTATATAATTTTTTTATATTTTTTATATAATACTAAATTTTAGTTGATTAATTACTTTGCAATAATCGAAAGTAATATATACTTATTTTTATTTATAGAGACATATCATTTGTGATATCAATAGAAATATATCACCAATAATTACAATAGTATAATTAATTAATTATAATTTAGTATTGTGTAAAGTTAATAAAAAATTATGTAAAGTTTATATTATTAAATGGTAAATATTATATAAATTTTTATTATAATTGATTAATTATAATATTATATAAAAAATTATGGGTGATATGGATCCGTTATCTACAGCAATCTGCAGTTGAATTCAAATTCAATTCATGGGTTTGAGCAAATCCCCCAGCCCAAAATTATTCGGGCTGACATTACTGTTTTATGACTAAAAGTGGACCCGCCCAACCCTACTAACTAGACCAGATCGTAGTTTAGACTTATCCTACTAAACTGGTCTCTATTCACTCCAAGACCCGGTCCGGAAAGCCCAGGATCGTCCAGATTGGAAAGCAAATAAAAGTGTAAAACCAGAAGAAGATCAGAGGATTACCCTATCGCTCGATTAATCAATTCGACGAACCAGTTGTTTCACATTTGAATACAGGTACAACCCTTTATATCTATTGCAAAAACCCTAATTTTTCCCCCCACTTAATTTACTTTAATCGATTCATGGTTTTATGGTCGTCAGTGGCTCAGGAATTTGTTTTCCTTCTACTTCTTAATATTTGATGGAATAATTTTATTGAATTTTTTTCCAGGCGTATTTGTTACAACTATTAGATATGTTTAACATTGCAACAACATTCTGCAAAAGGGTAAGCGTGAAGGAGCTAGTTACCAGCTCTCCTGTGTACGGCACCATCACTGGTATTCCTCTTTACCTATTGAAATAAGCTGTTTTTGTTTTTGTTGTTTGTTGAATTCTGTTGAGCTAATTTCATGGTGCTATTTCCTTTTCCTTTTTTTTTTTTTGGCTTAGATGGGTCTTCTTCTGGCTTAAGCTTGATGTTTAAGCGGTGGGCTACTAAAAAAACTGCTGGATCAACAAAGAATGGAAGAGACTCAAAACCCAAGAATCTTGGGGTGAAAAAGTTCGGTGGCGAGGTCAGTGGATGATCCATATTCAGTTACTTCCATTTTAGTTATAGTGGATTTCGTTTGATTTGATTCGATTTGATTTGATTATTCACTTCTATAGAGGGTGATTCCTGGAAACATTATAGTTCGTCAGCGAGGAACAAGGTTCCATCCTGGAAACTATGTGGGGATTGGGAAGGATCATACTCTCTATGCCCTGAAAGAAGGTTGCGTGAAATTCGAGACACACAACCTTAGCGGACGAAAATGGGTACACGTTGAACCCAAGGAAGGCCATGTCCTCCACCCTGTTTATGCAACCGCTGCTTCAGGAGAGCTGAAGACAGCCACATAAAATTTGCAACACTGTTGTTTGTTTCTGCAATCAAGCTGCACTTTATAGTTTGTTTTTGCCTGATATTCTTGGATGTTCAACTATCATTGTGTCACAGAGGAATTTGGGAGATAGAAATTAAAAGAGCCATGGGTTTGGCCCCAAGTTTGTTTTCTGTTACTGATCTCTTTTTTATTATCCTTTATTACATAGCATGATTTTAGATTCTAGTATAGTAGTATTCTACAGCCATGAAGGAGATATCATGCCATAAAATGATGCAAGCTTGACAAGAAATTTAAGATCACTTTCTAGTCAAAATGATTGAATCTCCCTGGAAATTATACTGGCAATGTGGCATGATTCTTTTATCTTATCATTTTTAGTGTCTTTTCGGCTTTGGCTAGGAAGTAGTCTTTCAAGTTGATTGAAATTCTCAATCCAAAAAATTCTTTTGAGGTACAGTTAATGTGTTTTTCTATTGCTACTAACTAAATGTGAAGTTAATAATGCTGCAAGGAGTCCTAATCTTTTACAATTTTACACTACATTTTAAGATATATGAGAGAAAGTGCCAATAACAATGAAAAATTGCTGCTTGTTATGACAATTGACTGCAAACAAGCTTTTGAAATATAAAAGAATCTCGCTGGATATAGTTGGGTCTCCCGTCTCTTCTCCATGACTGACTTCGGCCATTTTCGTTAAGCCTAGAGATGTATCAGCTCAACCAGTCTATCTTCATCAGATTGGATCGTCTGCTAGTTTCCTTATAAAATAGCTTTGGAGCCTAATGGGTGCACAAAATGTTGGGATTCAATGGTTGAGCAGGCACTTGAAAAGAAGCCCCCCAACCCCCCCCCCCCCCCCCCCTTCTCCCCGCTAAAAATCAGTTAACAGCAAACACTCTTTTCAGCTAGTTCTCATCTAGCCTCTCAATGTCTTGCATTTCCACTGGTTCGGGGAAAATTTCATTTGACAACCTTTTATGTGAAGATGAGTGGTCAATTCCCCCACTACCATGAGAACCTACTCTACTTGACTGCCTAAAACCACTAAAACCCTCTCTGTTTGGGTGGCCTGGAACGGTGGCGCTCTCTGATGAGCTCTGTCGCCAACTACCAAAGAAGGCAGTACTCCAAGATCTCCGAGACGATGTTGTTCTCAGCCTGGCAGAGCTGAAACTCTCCTCCCTTACCACTTTCAAAGGGTTTTCCAATGCTTTAAGAATATGTTTCATTGAGGGTCGTTTGGAAGGCTTTGGATTAAGGCATGACCTTGCCACGATTGCCATGGCCCATACTTCTTCCAATAGATCCTCATCTACTATCAAGGATGGATCCATGATCTTAGTCACCAATTCCTTTTCATATATACTGATGCAAGGCAAGGTTTGCTCAAGCCACTCCTTTGTAGATGCATCTTCCGCTTTACCAATGCCAAGCTTGCCTGTTATAAGCTCAAGTAATACCATTCCGAAACAGTACACGTCATAAGCACAATTAGCCGAAGAAGAGCCTGTCCATTTCCAAAGACATGTATAAAAATTATAATTTTCTTTCCAACATGCAACTGATGCAGAAAAATAAATAAATAAATAAATAAATAAAACCACCTATGAAATGCTGTGTGTCTTATATTTCAGAATCTTCCCTCCCCAACAACAGTTTTAGAGATATAGTTACATGGGCAAATTGGCTCGGTTAAAACAAAAGGATATATTTGTTGGTGTGAAAAATCTATAGTTTCAACTTTCAATGATGGAAACAAGTAATGGATATCATCTGCTAGCACATAGGTACAACAGTGTACATGTGAATGATAACTGCTTTAAATTTCAGTCCGGTGGACCAATTCAAGCAAGGCTGTCGACTCCAGCCTTATAGTATAAGAATGGTAAATCAATGAAGTGAATACCCACAGACTAGTGAATTACTACTATTAAGTTTCACACGTTGACAAATAGTAATATAAAGAATCAAGGATATTAACAACCATGCAATTGAATTTTACATACCTGAACCTGAAGGCCCCGGGTCGGAGGTCCTACACATCACCAAGAGAAAAAAATATATTATAGCACTGAACAAAAATATACAATAACAGAACAAAAGAACTTGTCTCTTGCCATCATTCTCTTGTTCACACACACATTAATTTAAATTTTATGTGGCCAAATCAAAGATCAAATATCAATGAATAGTACAAATTTTGTGTGTCAAAGTTGCCATGGATATCAAGGTTTAAAAGCACCATAAAACAAAAATGAAAACTAAATATAACAAATGTGTGCATGGCACAAACAGTTGAAAGCAATAGATGTGTCAAGGGCCAGGCAACTCACTCAGGCCTGCAAGTCAATTGTTGTATTATATTATTCAACATAATTTATAAAATTAGAGGAAATTTATGGGCCTGGTCTTGCCCCAAATGTATTGGCCAGAATTGGGCCAGCCTGAGCCAAAAGGTGGGCTGTCTGACAAGAAAATTCTCCCATAGCATCAAAACTACTATTTTACATCTAAGAAGATCAGCATATCAGTATATCCCAATTCTAGTTGATTTAATTCGCTAGGCCATATCCCTTTCAATCAAATTAACTATGTCAAAAGTAGCATGCTTAGCAATATGATACCAAGTGCTTTTGTTATAAGACAAAAGGCTGACCAAGCAATTGGAAGCACTACAGCATAATGAAAGATACAAAACCAGATATATTATGATCAAAACTAAAAAACAAGAATATAAGAAGATAAAGAAAGTCAATTGTTTTAAAGCAATTGCACCAGAAAGGACTGAAAAGAATAGTAAAATCACTCAAAAGAAACAAATAGTAAATCAAGTTAGTTTCAAAAACCAAGTAAATCTGTTAAGTTATTCCTAGATTAACTTAACCCCCGCCCCCCCCCCCCCCCCCCCCCCTCCCCCCCAAAAAAAGGGATATACAAACTACCATATGCTTCCTGGCAAATGGATAGCTAAGAAATGGTAAAAAGAATAACTTTTATAATACTTACTGTGGCTTCCAAAGCAACCTTGTGAGCACATTTTGGTGTGTATCTCCTTCCTGGCTGCGAACTTCGCTCAAGCTCCCAAGTCTCACTTCAAATTTATCATCAAGAAGAATACTGCTTGCTTGAACATCCCTTCAACCACCAAAAGTAATACAGCATAAAAATTAACGCTATTGAAAAGGAAATCATAAAGCTTGTGAAAAGTTACAAAAACAGGAGAAGCAACTTGAGTTAAAATGGAGAAAAACAACGAGTAGCTACTGGCATATAGATTTATAGTTTATTACCAGTCCTACCAGTCCTGGTTACTAGCAACTATTATAATTATCAATCTCTCATTGCACTGAAAAGAGATTAAAAGTAGCCAAAAGCATGTTTCAAAATACCTGTGAACAAGAGGAGGGTTACATTCATGGTGCAAGTAGCGTAGGCCTTCAGCAGCTCCGGTAGCTACTTTCAACCTTGTAATCCAATCCAGGGACTGTAAGCTATCATCCTCTGAGTTGGTAGCCCTGTAAAAGGAATTGGCCAAATCTCCATTTGGCATATATTTGTAGACCAGAAGCTTGTCATTTTCATTCTCCAAGCAGTGCCCCAAGAGTGGGACAAATCTCGTGTGAGCAAGCTTTCTGAATAAATCCAATTCCATCATGTATGATTCTTTCTTGAAAGAACTCAAATTGACCTTTTTGATGACCACTGGGATCCCACCTTCTAAGATACCACGAAAAAAGTCTCCTGAGTGGCCATGCTTAATAAGATTCGTCTCACTAAAATTACCAGTTACTTGGAGCAACTGCTCATATGTAAATGGATGTCCAGAACCAGCTATTGTAGGATCTTTCGGAAGTTGAGGACTATCACCTTCTGGAACAGGCCCTATATCTGCACTTCCTCTTTGATTTCTGATGCCCTTGTCACAACCTTTCAAGAGGACCACTAGCACCAGTACCAAAATTACAATGAAGCCAAGTCCACCGAGTACTCCTGCCAAGATAAATATCCATCGCTTCCTGCTCTCTGAACTAGATTCGGCTGGAGCTGGCTCTATTGTGTCTGGTGCACCAAAATTATCAAAACTTAGCCCTCTTTCTGTATAAAACAGTCTACAATCCTCCAAACTCCTTTGTTTCACAGCCTGAAGGCAATTCTTGTTTATAGTAGCATTTCTTTTACTGTTGTTAACTACCTTGCCTTGAAAATAGTTACCAGAGAGATCGATAAATTTGAACATTCCAAGTGAAAAATTCAAAGTTCCATAAAAGAAATTGTTGGACAGATTGAACACGGCAGCTGCAACAGCACTACTATTAGAATTAAGACCCGGTAAAGGACCTGTAAAATTGTTGCTAGATACATCAAGGAACCCCAATTTAGGCATTGACCAAATCGTATCTTTAAGAGCACCTTCAAGTTTATTCCGGCTCAAATCCACAACTTGTAACTCAACTAGACTTGAAAACAAATCAACCGGCAGACGTCCTTCTAGCTCATTAACCCCAATTACCATCTTTTTTAAACTTCTTAACATCTTAAATTCCTCAGGCACCGACCCGTAGAAAGAATTCTTACTAAGATCAAGCACAACTAACCTCGAAAGATTACCAAACTGAACAGGAATTGAACCAGAAAGATTATTATCTGAAACATTAAACAGTTGAAGACGTCGTAAAGAACCTAAAATAGGTGGAATTGACCCAGATAAGTAATTTGAAGCAAGTTCAAGCCTTTCAATATTTCCAAGAAACCCAAAACTTAAAGGAACTGACCCAGTAAGCGAATTAACTGAAAGATCAAGAATTTTTAAATTCTTTAACTGTCCCAATGTAGCAGGAATTGAACCAGCAAGATTGTTATCACAAAGATACAAAGAAGTGAGTCGACTCAAGTTACCAAGTGAACCAGGGATTGAACCAGAGACATTGCATGACCGGAGATCAAGAACCTCGAGATTAACCAACTGGTTTCCGAACCAATCCGGTACTGACCCGGGAAGTGGGAACTCGGATGCATTGAAGGAAACTAGGCGGGTCAAATTAACCAATGAATCAACATTGAACCTGGGATTGAGTCGTCCAAGTCTGGTTCTTTTTAAACCGGAAACAGTGATGTTCCAAACGGAGCCGTTTCGACATTCGACGCCGAGCCACGATGTGCAAGGGTCGGCCTTGATGGGCCAATCTTTGGCTCGGAGACCTAATGATGAGCGGAGATCAAGCAATGCCCTCCGTTCGATTGAAGAACTTATCGAAACTCTCTGAGCTACCACGCACTGGATCAAGAGTAAGATTACAGCTAACAAGAAGATTGGTAACACACTTCTTTGAGCTTCCATTGGTAATGTCAAGCCGATGCTCATGAAGCTCAATGGAGGCTCAGTCTCTCACTCATCATCTTCTTCTTCCTTGAAAGAAAAAAAAAAAAAGAAAACTTTATTATTTTTTTTATTTTGACCATCACCCTTACCATCAAAGAGCTCTCTTTCTCTAGCTAGCCTGTACATTTTATGTACATACTTGATTTACGGGGAAAAAAATAAAAATGGGTAACTCAAAAATAGAGAGAAATTTATGTATGTTTTAAAAAAAGAGTTTAAATATTCCTTGTTCTTCGTAAATTCTTACCTCCAATCACGAGCTATGATTCTGCATTTGATGTTGTTCCTTTGTTACCACCGACCCCAAATTAATAATCTAAGCAATAAAAAAAATAAATTGAACTGCATGTGTTTAAGTCCAAAAAAAACACTAAACAAAACAAAAACGTAAGATTTACAACGTTAATCTTGAAGTTTAAGCAAACAGCTTATAAGGGTTGTTGTTGTTTGTTTCTAGAGACAACAAAAATTGAATTATGGCACGGGCTTTAAAGAGAGGGGGGTCGGCTTTTAAAGAGAGGGGGGTCACCCGGTCAGGTGACATTAATGAGGAAAAAAAAAGGTTTATTTCTGCTCAACCGCCGGACCTTCTGCCAGTACTGTGTCACTTTCACTATCCACCGGAGCAATTTAATGAATCTGCCCCTTTCAACAAACTCAAAGATTCTAACACCTTCACTTCATTATTACTACTAACCCAGACGAGAAATGGTTTTGGACACAGAGCGTCGATGGTGATGGACTTTTATGGCTGGTTCATTGACTTGGAAACTAGGAAAACAGGTTCCTGGTCGTGAAAGCCAGCTCAGGTGAACAATAAAATTGTGAATATACGAAAACAAGGAATCCTTTCGTTTCATTTCATAATCAATCAAATAGAAGTGTACTACTAGCAATAGACTGGGGATGCAAGGACAAGTCCAAAGTCTTCTTTTTTTTTTTTTCTTTTTTTTTTTTTAGGATTTGATTTTTCTTCTTCTAATACAATGGCATTGCTTTCTTTTGGCCCACACTCCCATGTTGTCGTTTTTTATGGAAGTTTGTTTCTTGAACAACATCTACTTTCATGTTTCATTTTGTCGATGAAAATTTGCATTCTTGATAGTCCATCTTCACTCTTCCATGTGGATTGAATAGTCAGCATATGGATTTTTAAATGCCATTGCAGTTGGAAGCAAAGGTTTCCATCAACTATTGTTAACCTGTCCACATGTAAAGACTGACTTGATTAAGTCCCTATCAAAAAAAAGGATAACGTGGTAAGTGTCTTCATAAGCCATACATAACATAAAATATGTCGAATTACGAAGGAATTATGGTGAGTGAAATGGTTATTAATAATTACGAAGGAAATGTTTTGATTTCAAATATGTCGAATCATTTAAAGTTATATGATTATCCAAATCAAATCATCCAATTTTTTTTCCCTTCTCCTTGTTTTATCTCAATAATCATTGAATTTTGCATGAAAGAATGTAAGTATTTAGTATAATTTTTTATGCTTGGAAAAAAAAAATGTAAGCGTCAAGTAACTGTTGGGGTCAACAATTAAGTTTTCTGGTCAAACGTGTAATCTTAGTGAACCTTTGATCCAACAATAACCAGACGAAACGCGAAAAGTGCTAGCATTGGCTTGCAGCGGCGACTGATTTGAAAAGAAAAATTAAACAAAAACAGATTGTGACTGACGTGGCAATTTTCAACATGGACCCCACAGCTAACGCGTTTGTGTCACTCTCTTGTCATTTGATTACTTTTTTTTTTTTTTTAATATAGTAATTAAAAGAAGCAAGAGTGACTTTTGCATGCTAAAATTTATATTTTAGAAAATGCTTTACTTTAAAAGTGGACATCTGACCAATTCAACCAATTTTTTAGGTGCATTTGATTTTTTTTTTAATTATTATTAGATTGGATAATTTTATTTATTTTTGTTATATTTATTTTATATCATATATTATAAAATATAAAAATTATTATATCTTAATTTATATCTACATATTAATTACGAAATATATTTATTTTATTTTTTGTTAAATTGATAGGTATTTTTTGTATTATTTTTGTTTTAATTAAATTCATGTAAAAATTTTTATTATAATTTTAAAAAAAATTTAATTATATATTTTTATATTATATTATTATATCATATTTAAAATTCATAGCTTTATCTTTGAAATAAAAAACTTATCAGTTCACGTGTAACATCTTTCTCAACATTCTAATATTTTTTTTTTAGTCAATCTTATGATTGGATTTAGAATTGAAATATATCATTAAGAAACCATTGAACGTGGATAATTCGTTAAGAATTATTAATTAATAATTTATTTTAAATTGTTCACATGTGAATAAATTTTATTTTTAATTTATGGATGAAATCTAAAATTGCAAGCAAAATATATAAATTAAAAGGTCTTAAGAATTTCTAAAAAATGTATTTTTTTGAAGTGATATTACATGATCATAAATATCAATCGGGTGAAAAAATATTATTCAAAATTAGATAAAAATAATAAAAAATTTTATTACTTTAAATAGTAAAGAAGATATTTTTCCAATTTAAACAAGTGAAAAAAAAAAAAAGGCAATGAAAATTACTAGTCTAAAAATGCCACTGAAATAAAAATGAAAAAGGAATAAAGCTACGTGTCCAACTTGGCCAACGAAGCTGTCGGCTGGCCTATGAGACAAGCTTTGCTGAATCATCACGGCGTCGATGTGGCACTACATGATTGGATGAAAAGTTTATAGTTGTAGGCACGAAGATGAGAGCATATTGACTTGGTCAGTCTCGGTAACTTTGAAATGACCGTAGGATGTTGAGGTTCTCAAACTTGAAACTGTTAGAGAAGAAGACACAATCAGTAAAAATATATTTTTCTCTTACCCAAAGTAACAAATAATACTCTTAAAATAATATTTTAATCTTATAATTTTTAAAAATTCTTTAATATCTTCGATTTTATCGGAATTTAATTTTTTTTAAAACGATTTTAAAGATGCATTCTTTTAAATAATCTTAAAACATATTTTTTTGTATTAATTTAGTGAACTTAAAATTATATTTTAAAAATGTTTTTTATTATGATCAAATATATGTTGATAAAAGAAAAAAACTATTCTCCTTTATCAGCTAGATTAATCTTAAATGGGTTATGAAAATTCAATAAAAATTAAAATGTTTTTAAATTTAAAGACATGTAACAAACAAATATAAATATATAAACTTATTATTTCATACATAATTAATGAAGTTTCCAAAAGATTATTATATATCTTTTTTTTTTATAATATTCATGTATGATGGTTTTAAATATATCTTATATCGTTTTACTGATGGTATATCACATCATTTTAATAGAAGAGAGATCAAGTTATATAAAAAAATTTAAAAAATTTGTTGTAATTATTGATTTTAATAGATTAAAAAGATAAAATAAATCATTTTTTCTTTTTAATTTGTCTCTCTTATCCATTAGATTTATTAAAATCAAATGCTAAAAAAAATATAAAATTTTTTAATTTTAATTATTATATATATAATCATAATACTATTTCGAACAAAATTTGAAAACCGATATGATAGATTTAGAATCCACGACATAAAAAGGCAGTTCACAATGAGTCAAATCCTAGTCCATTATTAAAGATCAAACATAATTGCATAGGCGTCCTTTATGCAAATTAAAGCACTAAGTTCAATTTCAATAGCGAAAAATGCAACTTTTTTAATAATTGAGTAGCTTCGTTTGTACTTTATTGTTCATCATCTTCCTAGTTTGGAAATTGGATAAACTACTAAAACAAAAGTTCAATGTGATAATTTAGCACATAATTTAACTAACTTAAGTCCATTTGACAATAAGATAATCTTTTATTTTATTTGATACAAATTAAAAAAAAATTCAAATTCTAACACTCATCGTCAAAATGTTTAAGATAATGGAAAGAAAAATATTTAATTCTAAAAAGATAGAGTGGAATTAGACTAGGATGTTTCATATTTATAAAAATGTAAATATTTTTTTGGATTTGTTAAGATTTAAATTCTAATCTTTAAAATTAATAAAATATTAAATACTAATAATTTCTTGAACAAAAATCTCCTAACCTATATAATTTTCTAACAAATAGTCCAATGGATTCCTAGTCCATCGCCGTTATGTTGGGTTGGTGACTAAGTTAACATATTGGTTTGGGTTTTCTTGGTGAAGGCTGTTGGGTGATTACATGTTGAGCCCAAGATATAAATTTTAGGTATGGGTCTTGGAATTACTAAGAATTGGGCTGTGGCTTAATAGTATTTGCTGATTTCACTTATATTTGGACTAATTGGGCCTTGTCTTAACTACCTAGTCCAGTTGCCTAAATGTTTGATGACCCGGAATCCTAAGGCGGCTGCTGCAGATTTCACAGAAGACAGATGAAGTACTCTACCTATGCAGTTTCTTACTGAACTAAACACGAGATTTGATTTGTTTTGAAAATGATTAGACACCCCTACAAAGGGGGAGACCACATATTTTTTGTTTTTTTCTGTTATAATTTGATGACATTGACTAAAAAACAGCATAAAGGCACAAGAATCTTCATCTGATCACCATATCGCATATAAGGTCCAATTGAGTCTTTCAGCACCGATTATCAACTCTATGAATCTCAAGATTCTACTCTCATCTTATACAGCCTGGCAGAATTTTCCACTCTTATCACTCAGCCAACTGATTTCTCATGATGTTGATATTATTGAAAACTGGACGATCCAACTTTCATTTGCTCAGCCAAAGTGGGAATTCACCAAAGAGTGATGATGCCTATCTACTTCATAGTTATCCATCTCAATTATTATTGGCTTCCTCCTGTCAGGTATTTTTCTCTTTCTCGACCTGATCAACATTCCTGTTATACATGAGTTAGTCGTTTCTCTTTCTTTTGCAGTTAAAATGGCTAGATTTTCTCCAAATATTGTAATAATTTGACCCACAGGCCAAAGGGATTAGTTTTGTTGGTAAGGGAATAGCTCATTCCTTGTCAATCAAGTTCGATTTTGTAGGGAGGATTTCGAGAGTAAAATCATAACTGTATTAGGTGGATGGGAAGGGATGTGTTTTTAAAATCACAGGGATTAGATCCAAACAAAGTTTTACGTCTCCTTAACTGTCTTAGAAAAAAATATTGTAATAATTTGTAGGAAAGTACCATTTTTCCGTCAGTCACCATTGGAATAGTACTTGTCCAGCTTATCCCCATCAATTCTTTCCCTCCTTTGAGCCACCGGATCAACAACCTTTGAATTTTCTCATCCAGGTTACTTGCTTTTCCTCAAATATTCCCCCAAGAACTTTTTTGCTTGTTGGATGCATCATTTAGGTCCCCACGATGGACACTTAGCCCTGGAAAAACGTTATGCTGATAGCAGATTCATGGTTCCCTGACCCTAAGCAGGAATAATATTCAGCCAAAACAATTGACTCCCCTGATGTGGCTAGCTCGAGAATCCAACGGAAACGTCTCGCAATTTCAGACCATAATTAATGAGCTCGAGATGGCAAAGCAAGCGCTCGAAGTTGAAAGGAGGGGCAGCAGAGAATAAATTAATCAAGTCTTTCAAAGCTATTGATAGCAGGAAAATGATCTCATTTGAGATAACTTTATTGTGGAAATGACATGGATGATAAGGATTAAAAAATATCGGCAGCCTGATATACCACAATGAACAATAGGTGCTTAAAGTTGTAGATGTAATTGATAACAAATGATCACCACATATTGTCAATAGTGCTTGTAAACTTGTGCTTATAATTCAATCTGTCCATGTGCTTGAAGGATGCATGGTTTTCTCTAAGTCTCATGTACAAAGGCAAAATAGCTTTGGATTTTAGAATCTACAAACGAAGAGTACTATAGCAAGAAAAACCAGTTAGGTTTTAGTTTTATTCTGGAGGTTGGCGGAAAGCTTATGCAGGAATTCCTTTGGTTTAAATTTCCTGTAAACCCAGTTATGCTTTTGAGAAAACTCTGAGCTTCTGACAATGAGAAACTCAAAGGTTCCCCGGTTTTAGCAAGCATATCAATGCAAAATTCCTTCCTGAGTTAAACAGGACCACCTTTACAGGTGAGGTGCTTTTCACACTTATAGGTCAAGAACGGTGACCTTTGATCTCCTGATAAAGTCCTGGATTCCATAGCCCCAGGCCCCCCAACTTGCAGACGAATTCTAAGCTACCCAAAGAAAAGGGAAATTAATGGCGTCCTTAAAAGGTCTTGAAATAGAAAGGAAATGTATCCAGGGAAAAATAAAATTCTTTTTGCAGTGGACGTGGATGATAAGGATTCTAATCATCAAAACGATAGAACGTGCCTGAAATGGATCTTCTTCGTAGATATTCCCCCCAAAAGTTGGAAACGCCATGGCAACCACATAAGCGCTTGTCTTGCGTCTGTTGATATCCAAACTAAAGTGAAAAAACACTTTCTAATAGACCAATCACAAACCAACCAGTCCTTTTCAATGTTCACAAAGGAACCAGAACCACCATAAACTAGTAACTACTGTATAGTTTACCTAACTTTCCACAGGAAGTTTCTTCATGACGGTTGTATCCAAATTGTTTTAGAACAATCAGATGAATTTATGGCTCCTAGTTTTATCTCCGGTAATAAATTCTCTGAGGGAAAAATTTGTATTAGTAGTTTCGCCTTTTTGGTGCAAACACATCTCATGCCCATCGATCACCAATCAGCTGTTAATAAGTCATATGGTAATGTTGATTTTAACTTTTTTTTTGGTTGTTACAAGGGGAGTATGAGCTGCTAGACTAATCCCATGATCTATTTTTCTTTGTTGATAATTCATCTCATTAACTCACATTTAAATTTAATTAGATGTCAATTCATGCAAAATAGAGTACAAATGAATTTAACCATTTCATTTATGATTGTCTGCCTATTGGGTTTTCGAGAATCTTTGCTATACTTTGTTTAAAATAGTTGTTGTCTTATAGTGAAAGTGTACTATTTAGCAGCCTGTCAAATTTGACAGTAAGCCAAAAAGATGTATCGGGTGCTGGGTGCAAGCATGGCTTTCCAGCGGATAGCGTTGCACAATATAATGGTCTTTTAAATTATGCTTCCCGATTTTTCTTCCAAGCTAAAATTATACTGTTAGTACGAGTTGCTTATCCTCCATCCTGGATGAATTCAACATATAATCAAGTGGATACTTTCGGTTGCCCTCATTTTGCTATAGGATCATGTTATTCAAAAGAGAAACATATATCTGGCCCACTACCAGCATGAGATCAATCTATAGTTAGCCTTTGTTTTTCCTTAGGGTACATGTGAAATGGTGATTAATTATGGGATCACATGATGGTTTCCATGGAGTTTAGGTGCAAGATCTGTCTAAAACTTTTAATGGTTTTGGTTCCAGCATTGGACACTGTAAACCAAGTACAATGCATGACTTGTTTGGTATAATCAAGGCAAGGATATGACTCTTATCCTCTTAGGCATCACACACTATCATTTGCTATATTAGGCATATGACCCAGAGCCAGATGCCAAAAGCTAGCTGGATATAAAGGGACCGCCGAGTATCAAGTATGTAATTAGTTATTTCAGAATTAATCGACAGGCATGACGGCTAAACAGTAGCTACTAATGTGAGAATCCATATTAATATGCATTGGAAGACAGCAGAAAATGTCGATACTTATGCCAAGATTGTTTTAATTTGAAGTGCAGCAGTAGAGACTGCTTTAAATTAACCGACACTTTTAGTGCTCAGGAAATTTGAGTGCAGCACAGATATGCTAAATTGAATGAAACCTCGCATTGATGTTCTTCCTTCCAGAAACCAAAAAACCATAAACTCCAAGGATCAGTTTGAACTTTGAAATTACTTTCCTTTTCCTTCAACAATTATTAGACTGTTTTCCCTTCAATAATTGGTCTAAATAAACGAACAAAAAAACGAGTAACTAGTATCTAAGACCCTAACAGATTGTTACAGCAGTCTGTACAGTTTCACCTGGTAAAAGAGATCACCTGTTTGACTTATTCTCGGAAAAAAAAAGAACAAGTACAAACAATTGTAAGGAAAGATCTAGCAGCCTCTGTCACGTTTTAAGATTGATTCACAACACAGAAAACGCCTAAAAAGAAAAATAAATAAATAAATAAAAGGGTCTCTCTCTCTGTCTCTCCCTTTTCTCCCTCTCATTATACAGCTCAACAGCACTCTCAACGTGAAGATTTTACTGGTTGGCAGCAATGGTGCACCCGTGAATGCTAAAGATCAGCACAGATGCTGAATAAACCCTGGACCCACCCTGATGAAGGCTGTAGCTTACTTCTGTATACAGCGCCATTATAATGTACTGGACTGTGCTTGCTGTGTTAACTTTATCTCCCGAGTGAAGTACTCGGTACTTTTGATAACTCCATTTGGAGGAAATTTTTCGTGATATAGGAACCATTACTTAAATGTTTAAACAAGTTTCATTGAAATCTGATATTGGAAATTTGAGAACCTAATAGTACGATAATTATAAAGTGAAGTACAGCTTTGAATTCAAGTGTAAATTTTAGTTAACAGAATACTAGTATTAAATGAGGAGTTAATCACTTAGTTCCATATCTGGGAAAAGGGGTTTGGACAATTTGGACACAATATTCAACCAAAAAACCATTGTAGCCGCAGATTTAATACCTTAAATACACATATTTTGATCCTTTCTATGAAAGGTTGTCCACGAAAATAACCACTTTGAGCACATTTATCACGGAGGTCGACACATTCGAATGTGCATCATGAGTAAAATTTTCGCGGCAGGCAGAATTAATCCATTGTATAAACAAAATCCAAGATGGCTAACTGGTATATATGGTTGGTTGTAACAGTTATTAATGTGTGAGGAAAAAAAAAAGAGCGAAAATTTCTTGGATTAATAAAAACAGACCAGGAATTGAGTTTCTTGATGTTTAAGTGATTAAGTCTACAGCAGACCCATGAAATTATCTGGAAAGTAAAGTAAAACCACGTAGTTTTTTACAAAGTCCCGCTGTTTTGCAAGTAAAGCAACAGCTAAGTACCTGACACAAGCCCCGGCCCACGATTTCCAAAACTCTCCTTTCTCTTGCTTTTCTCTCTCCTTCCTCTACTATATAAAGAGCAGCCTTGGCAGTCTCTTTTGCGCATAAAATCTTCTTAATTCTATATTTCTCTCTCTTTTTTTGTGTTTTCTCTGACTCTTTTGAGTATTATCAGTGTAGTTATTTCTGCAATGGCCTCAGGTTCGAGCTGGACACCAAAGCAAAACAAATTGTTTGAGAATGCTTTAGCTATCTATGACAAGGATACTCCGGACCGCTGGCACAATCTAGCCAGGGCAGTTGGAGGGAAAACTGTGGAGGAAGTGAAGATACATTACGAGAATCTTGTCGAAGACATCAAGCAGATTGAGTCCGGCCAAGTTCCCTTACCCCCTTACAAGAAAGCAGGAGGAAGCAAAGGATACAATTACATGGATGAAGAACAAAGGTATAAATATATGCTAGTACCAATTAACTTAATTACCGCTTTTCATACTTTTTTTCTCCAGTTTTTTTCACTTCCCAAGAATGTTTATAAAGATCAGAAAGTCTCATAAACTTTTGAGGAATCCTTTATCTAATTGGACAGGTTTTCAGGAATTCATATCAAATTAACAAGTTGAGAAAATGAAAGGCTTGCTTTTAATATCAAAGTACTTCAATGCATGGCTAGCTTTAACATTATTATGATACTGCTTAATTGCTAGCTAAATATGTGGTGTAGTTATAACCCATAAGTAAAAAATAACAAGTTTCAAGCATTAGTTGGTGTATATTGCACTATTTCCCTATGGCCAAGACTGATATCTCATCCATTTTCTCCTGCAGGATGAGGAATCTCAGGCTTCAGTGAAGTATGAACCAGAACCAGTAGAAACAAAGATCTTAACCATTAATAAATCAAATGCAGCCCTGCGCAACAAACAGCGAATATGTTGCTCTTATGTCGTTTTCAGTTCCTGATCAAAGTTGTACCTTCCTATATATACTTCTTTCCTGCATGTTGCTTCGTTAAATGTACCGTGTATATGACTCATAACTCATATAGCATTGGTATATGACTCAAAGTTCCTTGTATGCTCCTGTACGTTTTTAATGAATATCCTCCTATTAATGTCTTTGTCTTCTATCTGACCAAATATGCATCCTTGAAACAGCCAGATTTATTGCAATACCTTAATGCAGAATCTAAATTTCAAGTTAAAAAGGATAATAATTAAAGGATAGACTTCGTAAAATTTGTTCTTGGATATTCATTTTCATATTCATTTTCCCAACCAATGTGGAAAATAAGAAGAGCCACTTTTTGGATCAAAGAGAAAAGATGGGAATTATACAATCTACAATATATGTTTGTGTGAACACCTCTTCTGCTAGAGACAAACTCTTTGCTGTTGAGTTAATCATTTCCATAATTAATAATTGTACTGGTTCAACTTTGTAAGCCATTAATCTTCTTTTCTGCACATGAAGATAGAATTCTAGATCGGCATGTTATAACTATAAGAATGAATAAGAACATACAATAAACTACAAGGACTCCTCAGCATTCTTTCTAAGAAAGAATTTCATCCACGGCTAGAAACTTCACCTATAGAATTAAATGGTTGCTATTAATTCTGTATATTATCAAGTTCAAGTCAATGGCAAGTTTTGAATTGAAAAAAGATTTCATGTGTTTGCTTATTATTATTACATAAGCAGTGAGATTTCAATTTGTAGATCACTGTCAAATAAGGAGAGCCTAAAGTACTTCAAAGCAAATTTGGAAGTGAACAAGGCAAAAGCAAAGCATGATGTTAATATATAAAATTTAAAAAAAAAAAAGATTTCCTTTTTTAATAGAATAGAAGGAGATAGTGTGTAAACAATGGAAAGTTATAGATAAATACATTAAATTTGTATTATATTTCTGATTTACATGTAATTAGTGAATTAAGAAGATATAGATAAATAGAGTATAAAAAATTAAAAAAAAAACCATGTGTTCAGACTGTAAATAAAAAATAATTTGTTTAATAATAATTTTTTTGAGTATATATAAAATTTCCTTTTTCTCACATTTTAAAGTTGGCTTTGAAAAGTTTAAGTCATAAAACGACACCGAATTATTATGGGCTTGGGCTTCGAAGGTAGAAGAAATCTTACTTGATTGGTGGGCTTTACGGCCCATAATATGACGTCATAACGTACTATACGGCTAGGGACCAAGGTCCTATTTTGATCTGCGTACTCAACACGCGCACCATCACCGTCTCTTTACTTCGTTTTCTGATTATGTCTCGACTTACACTCGCTCATTCGCTCGACCTTTGCGAAGACAAAACTGAAAGACAAAATGGAAGACAAAGCTTGTCCGTTCAAAGTACGCTAAGAATCGTTGTTTGCTCGAAAATATCTTTGTTTTTATTTACTTGTCTTAAAATTTAAATCAAGAATTAAAAAAATAATAATGGTAGTAGAAGAAGAAGAAATATTTCCAAAAATTTTGGAACTTTGTTGAAAATTCAACTGATTAATAGTTTTTTTAATGCAGATAATATCGGGATCTTCGTCCATGGCTCGTCGTAAAATGTTAGCTGAAATGGGATATGAATTCACAATCATGGTAATTTTCATATATGTAGAAAATTTAAATGTTGATGTATTGACAAAAAAGAAAAAAAAAGAAAAAGAAAGTTTCAGTTTGGGTTTTTCTATAGAGTGCAGATATTGATGAGAAGGGTATTAGAAAGGAGAAGCCAGAAGAGTTGGTCATAGCTCTTGCTGAAGCAAAGGTTCTGAAGTTTTACTTAAATCGGTGAACTGCTTATTTGGAATGATTGTTTTGATTGATAGAAGAATTTTAGAATCTAAAATCTTTTTTTTTTGCTTTGAGCAGTGTTTTATATATATTTTTAATTTGTTTGTGGGTGTTTTTATTGTCTAGTTCTGTTTTAGAATGTCAAATTGGAGAGGGAATTTTTGGAGTTTCTTTTATTGATTTGAGTGTAAATGACATCTCAGGCTGATTCCATTGTATCAAAGCTACAAACTATCAACAATCAAGAGAAGGATGAAATACCAACTATTTTAATTGCTGCTGACACAGTATGTCTTGACTTCTTTTAGTTACTGACTGTGCACCCTTTTTAGACAATCGGGCATGGTTTCACTGAATGCCATCTATGGCCTGAGGATATACTTTTGGAGTGAGTAAATCTGTTTCAATACCAGTGGCATAACTGCTATTTATGGCTTCGATTTCATGTTTTTATTTCTCTCGGTAAAAAGCTGGTTGTGATCCTTGCTAGATGTATAATAAAAGAATCAGAACCATTCAGCTTTCCTACAACACACAACTTCAAAGTGTGGCTTTTGTACGTTTCTGTTCAAATCACTTACATGCATGCACTTTTTATTTACCATTTCCACTGCTGCTGTTGCCTGCAGTATGGTATTGTCTTGGCATTTTCTTAGCTGGTAAAAATTTCTCAGGTAGAAGCCATCTTACACAGGCTCCCTGTTGGTGATTACCTAAAGGAAGCTCAGCCAACATTACTAATTACTTCTGACCAAGTGTTAATCTATTCCTTTGATTTGCTTTAGAGTTCCTGGCATGTTTAATAATGCTATACATTCTGTGTTATTGTTGCATGTGTCAAACTTTTTAAGAACAGTTCATAAGTTATCTATTACCACCATATCCCTTTCTTTGCTGATAAAAATCTATTTCATTTCTATTACACATGTTATTTGGCTCTTTGGAAGGAAGTTAAAGCCGAAATCATAAATAGGTCAATCAATTCCGCCCTTTCAACCTTTCAGCGGGTTCTTATAATTTTAATGCTTCCTTAAATAGATGCTGCAAGTCATGAGTTTCTTTTCATAATTAGAGTGAATTCTTTTTACCATAAAATTTTCAATTAAGAGGCCTATGTCTCACTGTTAATCAGATTTACCATTGCCTTCAGTCAGAAGTGCTTTCTCTGTGGAAGAAACCAGATAATCTGTAAAATATGCAGGATTGATGGGTGGGCATATCTTGCACTGATGTTTTTTGTGCCTAAATTTGTTTGCACTATGTATCCTCAAATATAGATGGCAATTGGTGATAATTAATGCTTCTAAGCATAGCATATTTACTATTTTCATGTTGTTGGAAAAATGAACTTTTTCACTTTTATTCCTTACTGTTATTGTTAAATGAACTCGAGGTGGTGGTCTATGAAGGTGCTGTAAGGGAAAAACCAGCCAATGAGAAAGAAGCACGTGAATTTATAAAAGGTTTGTCTTAACATTTTCAATCTAATCCCATCTGTTCTACTCTTTCAAAACTTTACTGATAAACTGATGTGCAGGCTATTCGGGTGGGCATGCTGCAACTGTGGGATCTGTTCTAGTTACGAACCTTAAAACTGGGTTCAGAAAAGGAGAATGGGATATGGTGGAGGTATTAATGGCTCTCATTCTTGATTTGAATATTTTTTCCAAATAAATCTTAGCACCTGCTTGAAAAATTACCATACTTATGTCATGTTAATGTATGGAGAGAATCAGAGCAACATAAACTAGATGACGTGTTATCATGTAATTTCATTACTTATTTATGTTCTTTCCCAGCTCTATCAAGTACTAGTTAAGTTCATCAGGACAAAAATATCTTTATTAAGAACCTTAACATATGTGACAAACATATTATAACACTGTTTTCAAATATGAGTATACAGACTGAAAATGTTTTGGTTTGAACCCAACTCTCATTCCAATGTCGTTTCATTCCTTGTCTGTTGGCTACAGTTATCCAGCTTTCTTAGTCAAGTTATTAGTACTTGCATCAACCTATGGTAGCCACAGAAAGAGAATCAAATGCATATGAAATAGTAATGAAGGATGTCTGACACCATCTTCATTACTTATCCAAAGGGGTAAAAAACACAGTCATTAAAGAGATCTGCACTATGTAGGCCTTGGAAGCTGGAATTATGCGAATTCCATTATTGGCACTTGATAGATATTGTAAGGGTTACAAAGCATGATCATAATGTGGCTTAACTCTTATTATTATTATTGATGCAATGCTGATATATTTCCATGAAATACCAGATGTGGTCATTGAGAAACTGGTAAGAGTAATTTTCTTCTTTGTTCTTCCTCCTCCTTTAGCTTATTGCGTGAGCAATGTCAATTTCTTTATCTGTTTTCTTTCTTGTTGTTCAGATTGAGGACGGGACTGTACTACATGTTGCTGGAGGACTGATTATTGAGCATCCTTTGATAAAGCCATATGTTAAGCAAGTGGTTAGTTTGATTATTTCTGTGAATATAGTTTCCATTGGTGTAGGATGTGCCAATTGGTAAAATTTGAGGCAAGAATTGATAAATATGATTCTTGCTTTAAGTTGTCTTGTAAAAATCAACATGCTCAACTTCAACATATGATCATAGGCAATGCATGAATACTTCCTTAAGGAATAGCTAAGATAAAATGCCTTGACAGCACCGGCAGGTCTTTTTCAAAACTCTCAAAGCAAGTAGTAGTAAGTAGTAACCTTAGACTGAATTCCGAATGTGCACACGTCCAGTCTGAACATCATCTTTTTTAGTGTGGTAGCTGATGGATTTTCACTGACTGAGAAATATTTTTTAAAATCAGAGGTAGATAAAATGTCGTTTGGTGTCTTTACAGGTAGGGACAACAGACAGTGTGATGGGATTGCCCAAAGCTCTCACGGAGAAACTCATAAAGGAAGCCCTGTAGGAGCTGCATCATTCGATTCCCTTTTTGGAGCTTATTCGCATTTATTCTGATCGGTTCATAGTCTGTTTTAGACATTTTACTCTGCCTGAAATGTGTCACTGTTCTGAACTTCTTATATCATCCATACCCACCTCAATTGTGCACTACTTTTGACCCTAAAAGTTGTATTCCAAGGCAGACGGTGTGTAAATAAGAGGCTACTCATTCATTTGATCCAGAACTCTCTGATTGTATGTGGATACAGGACTACTTGTTGAATTGGATCACTGGAATAAAGAAAGAGAGAGGAAATTAGCAGCATCCAAGGTTTACTCAAGAAGCATCAAAGGAAAAAAAAAAAAAGAGATTATGAAAACTGTTTACAGAGCGAATTATGCAGACCAAAATTTTTAACCTGAAAGTGAACTCTCTCAAGTAAGACAAACAAAACAACAATTCAAGATGTAAAGCCAATACCCGAGCAGGTTTTCTCGTACCAAATTATCGCATCATTTAGCAATGTTCCAGTTTCCATCACTTGATCAACGCATTTCCTGTCCGTAGATGTAAGGCGAAATGTAGAATCTAGAAGAATGACTTTGGCCTTCCTATGATTTTAGCCATACGATTTAAACAACAAAGAAACAGTAATACTAGAAACATTGTCGACGGAGACAATTTTCGATGTAAACCTCGAGTCCTCCACGGCTGTATATCTGACACTACCCAGCTGGCCAGCGATGATCCGATTAACCAACCTTTTCCAATGCAGGTTGGCCATTCCGTAGCAGTACCGACTCTGTTTTCATAGCTGGCATTTTGATAAGACAAAATCATTCAAAGCCACAAGAATTCACGTTGATGTTAACAGAAAATGTGAACAAAAAAACCAATCTTTAGTAATAGTAACCTGTTGATAATGATGAAAACTGAAAAGTTTTCTCTTCCTTTCCCATATCCATTTTTTCATGCTAAACCAAAAAACCAAAACCACGTTAAAGTAGAACAGTCAACCTTCCAGACGCATTCGTTAAAATAGATTCCAATCTTTACTTTTTTCTTTTTTTCTCTCTAAAGTTCCATTTTTCAGAACAAAGTTTAAACCTTTGGCCAAGGGCCTGTTGTAATTCTACATCTAGCTTTTCTCAGTCCCGGAAACACCTCTCACTCTGAAAAAATATACGATTTTTTTACAAAACCGTCAAAACCCTGCCACACCTTGGGTTCATTATTGTTAACAGACCAGGTCGGGACCATGAACGAAGGGGGCTTAGCCACCACAAAAGGTGGCTTGGGAAGCGGCTTAGTTGGTGTTCAGATCAATCAATCCCGAAGGCTCCCAGATTTTCTTCAAAGCGTTAATCTCAAGTACGTAAAATTAGGCTACCACTATCTAATTTCCAATCTTTTAACCCTTTGTTTTATACCTCTAATCGCGGTGGTTTCAATGGAAGTTTCTCAAATGAATCTCGATGATTTACTCCAGCTATGGGTTAACCTTCAATACAATCTAGTCAGCATAATCATTTGCTCTGCTATTTTAGTCTTCGGGTTAACGGTCTATATCATGTCCCGACCCAGAACTGTTTACCTTGTCGATTATTCTTGTTACCGTCCTCCTGATCCTCTTAAAGCTCCCTATGGTCGTTTCATGGAGCACTCTAGGTTGACTGGTGATTTTGATGAATCGTCTCTCGAGTTCCAGCGCAAGATTTTGGAGCGTTCGGGGCTCGGAGAAGAGACTTATGTGCCTAAAGCAATGCATAATATTCCTCCAACGCCGTCCATGGCGGCAGCGAGGGAAGAAGCTGAGGAGGTTATGTTTGGGGCATTGGATATTCTTTTCCGGAACACGAATGTCAACCCCAAAGATATTGGTATTCTTGTTGTGAATTGTAGTTTGTTTAATCCAACGCCTTCATTGTCGGCTATGATTGTGAATAAGTATAAGCTAAGGGGAAACATTAGGAGCTTTAATTTAGGTGGGATGGGGTGTAGTGCTGGGGTGATTGCAGTAGATCTTGCCAAGGATATGTTGCAGGTGCATAGGAATACGTATGCTGTTGTTGTGAGCACTGAGAATATTACTCAGAATTGGTATTTTGGGAATAAGAAGTCTATGTTGATACCTAATTGTTTGTTTCGAGTTGGGGGTTCAGCTGTTTTGCTTTCGAATAAGTCCAAGGATAGGAAGCGAGCTAAGTATAAGCTTGTTCATGTGGTGAGGACTCATCGTGGAGCAGATGATAAGGCATTTAGGTGTGTGTATCAGGAACAGGATGATACAGGGAAGACGGGTGTTTCACTGTCTAAAGATTTGATGGCAATTGCTGGAGGTGCACTAAAGACCAATATCACTACGTTGGGTCCTCTTGTGCTACCAATCAGTGAGCAGCTTTTGTTTTTCACAACTTTGTTAGTGAAGAAATTGTTCAATGCCAGTGTCAAGCCTTATATTCCCGATTTCAAGTTGGCATTTGATCATTTCTGCATACATGCTGGTGGGAGGGCTGTGATTGATGAGCTAGAGAAGAATTTGCAGCTGCTACCGATACATGTGGAGGCTTCTAGAATGACTCTCCATCGTTTCGGAAATACTTCTTCAAGCTCCATTTGGTATGGATTGGCGTACATTGAGGCTAAGGGGAGGATGCGGAAGCGCAACCGTGTATGGCAAATTGCATTTGGAAGTGGCTTCAAATGTAATAGTGCAGTCTGGGAAGCACTTCGGAATGTAAAACCATCTAGTAATGGTCCTTGGGAAGATTGCATTGATAACTATCCTGTGAAAATAAGCACCTAGCTGAGCAACATTTTTGAGTTGGATTCTACATTCAGACAGTGTATTCATTGGAAGGCAGACCGCTATATTTTGCTCTATCGGATTCTTGACGTGTACTTTAGTTGTCAAATGTGGTTACCTTTGTGTTCCAATTTTTTTTTTTTGCATCTGCATGCATGTCTGGAGTCCTATCATGGGAGACTTGCTCATTTTGTGCTATAATTCTCCATGCATTTACTAGTCATTAACCTAGTTGAGATTAATACTCATTGAAAGTTTCATCAATGTGCCATCATTGCATTTCATCTTTCTTTGCCATTTAAGTTTTTTTCCTTTTCTTTTTACCTTATAGACATACATTTATTGGAATTATTGGTGAGTGGGCATTAGTTTTTTTACAGATACATCATACATGGCATTGCTGTTGTCTAGACGTGCCTATCAGTCATTTATAGGTTGTGATTGGATGGGGACCAAGGAGTAAAAAAAAAAAAAAAGGAAAAATCTTGAAACATGATAAAGACCGTATCGAACTATAGTTACTCATTACTAAGGTTTTAGTATTTCCTGCCTTACGGCGAAGGGTATCTAACATCGTCATTTCGGAACAGTTTTGTTCAAGGAACATTTCAGTCCACTATTAGACAATTACTCCTACTCAAAATTTAACGTTAAAAGATTTAGACAAACTGGGATGAAAACTTAACAATGATAACGTTTCTTGACACTGAATTGATCATTTGTAGTTGTTTAAAGACCAAGTTTCGAACCTTGATGTTGACTGCCTTGCCTTCTGTTCTAACAGTTTAGTCTGTTCTACTTAAGTGTCGAAATGAAAGCAAAAGCAATTTACCCATAGAAAGAAATTAAATGAATTAATCACTCAAATAAGTACACAAAGCAGATATTTGTTTGAGGATGAGATTTGAGCCTCGTAGAAATACAAGCCAGGAACAAAAGATGATGACCGTAGAATATGCCTTTTCTATGCCGAAGGAAGATGGTTTCAGGCAAAAATTTTACAACTAGAGATCTGTGAGAGTATTACAAAATTGAAATTGCATTGCAGGAACTGACTTCTTCTAAGCAAAAATGAAACGAGGAGAAGAAAACTCATCTGAAAGACCATTGGATTTCTTCCAGAGTTCTCCCCTTTGTCTCGGGTACCCAAAGAGTCACAAACACGATTGTGAAAGCACTCAAAAGCATGTAAATTGTAAAGGTTCCTGTTGAGGATGAAGGGAGGTTGAGTTCATTAGGAAGCCAAAACAATAATAGTGTTGCTCCTATTAGGATGTCCATGTCAGTTATTTGAGATTCCACAATCTTCTAAACACTGCCTAATTTTGATAATCTGGTTTTTGCTTTTACTATCAACCTTGTCCGGTGTCAATGTGGATGTGGGTGTGCGAGTCAATATGTGCGTGTGTGAGAGAGAGACGTACCTCCACTGCTCCAGTCCAAAAGAAGGTTAGCAGTCATTGTGACCACCCAAGCAAAGAACCAGTTGGAAAGTGTTGCTATGCTTCCAGCAAGACCCTTGATATTTACAGGAAGAATCTGCAAAGTAAATGTGGAAAAATTACGAGATGCAACTTTAAAAGGGAGATCATGGTTATCATTATCTACTTTCCTCAGCACTCGTGAAGAAGATTTTCAACAGAAGAGCAAGTTCAAGTAGTAAAAACGATTGAAATGCATCCACAGTAATTTAATAACCAGCAAACATCCAACATCACCAAGCTATTTTGCTAAGGTCATTTTTAGTAAGTTCTGGACTGCAGTCTGCAGTTTAACAATGACTATCGTTTTGGAGTTCGACCATAGATAAGTAACCACTGTTGAACAGTAACGAGGACTTGTCAAAAATCTGCTTCAGCTCACTTTCCATATCACTAGACATTGAGTGAAAACATCAGAAACCAAAATTTTTCTGATAAATAGTTGGTTTGGGTTCAACTTTGAAAAAATAAGGATGTTAACAGATATGTAAAAGCTTGTAGATTTTCAGAGTTAGATTATTGGTACTTCTGACACCCATTTCAGCAGATTTTACAAAAGTAAGCATAGCCATCAATTCACAGGATGAAAGATGATGCCAAATAATGTAACATGTTGATACCTCTGACATTATAACCCAAGGAATGGCCCCCATTCCTAGAGAGAAGGCAACCACCATGGCCTGAAAGAAGAACAAGTCAGGCAATTGCATTTTAGCAACAAAGATTCAAAGCAATAACACATTTTCAGAAACGGAAAAGTAACATACCACAACTCCAACTCCTGACAAGATGCCCATAATGCTGTAAAGGCTCGAGTCACTAGATACAACATCCTGGATCAATTACCAAAAATGGTGATAATTTAGGTAAAAATGGAAAGGAAATGGAAACTTCAATATAATTGAATCATAGACATAGATTTCAGTTTACTTCTTTTCTTTTAAAAAATATTTTTTGCATTAGGGGGGAGGGGGTGATTGTCAACAGAATCCACCGCACCTTTAAAAAGAATGATACTGCAACGACTAGGAGGCTCAGAGTCATTCCAAAAGAGGAGACCTGAAATAAGTCAAGGGCAAAAAATGAATTAGATAATTACCAACAAAGTACGAAAGATAAAATTAGAGTAAACTTACTATAAGCAGAACCCGGCGCCCTGCTTTGTCCACTAGCCAGGTGGTTACAGCAGTAGCAATGACCTAACCATGCATAGTCCAATAATCACAATATTTCAAAAGTTCTTCTCGTGGACTGAAAATTTTGATGAAAAGAAAATGTTGTGGCATTTCTTCAAGCTATACCTGAATGGCACCAACTCCAAAGGTAGCCACATTGCTTGATTTAACCCCTGATCAAAGTTAAACATCTAGTTAAGCCTTTTTACTTGAACATTAAATCTTATGGCATGTACTAGGATATAAAAATAAACATAAGCATCAGCAAAATGTTGATAGCTTGTGCACCAACACACTGAGGAGACAATATAGTGAAAGAAAGCCTATTAATATTACAACACAAGCAGAGACAGAAGAGCAATCTTAGGTTGTCTGAGTTTCTGTAACATAACTCTTTTTGAAGGATACAATTAGTGAAAAGGAGGAAGCCTATTGACGTACTTCTAGAAATAACCAACACTAGTGTTAAAAATTTTCAACAATTCTTGTCTGGCAAATGTTTCCATAAAAGGGGAAACAAGCTTGAGCTTACCAGCAGCTTCAAAAATGGTACTTGAATAGAATAGAACACCATTAATGCCACAAAGCTGTTGCAGCACAAGTAGTCCAATTCCAACCTGAAAGACATTGGTCCATGAAACCAATTAGGTTCCTTTTTTCCCTGGTGCTATAAAGACCTAGGACAGTTCAGATTAATGGAATGTCAGAATAAAACTTGTGAGCTATTAAAAATACCATCAATGGAAACCAATATTTCCTTTGTTTGAGTTCTGCAAAGCGAATTGTAGTTCTTCTAGTTGTTGATGCTACAGACCTCTGTGACGTTAAAATAATAATGATAATAAATAACTGAAGTAGTCATTTGAGGAGAGTGAGGGGAGGGGAGGGGCAGAATAACCTACAAAAGAATTAGAAGTTTTGAACAAGAACTTGCAAACATATAAGTGGTAACCACATTGAAAGAGGGGCAAATGGAGAAAAGTGGATCAACTGCTTATTAGTACCTTGATTTCATTCACTTCAATAGAAATATCAGCATCAAAACCCCTGAGAACTTGCAAAGAAGCTTCAAAATCTTCTGTCATACCCATTTTGGCCTGAAATTAAAAAAGGACACTTGAATCAGGTAATAATAATTATCTATGCAAGCATGCTTGAGTCAACGACCTACTTCTCAAGCTTACCAGCCATCGAGGAGATTCAGGAATGAAAAATAGACCAGGTATCAAAATTGTACAAGGAAGTATTCCTGCCAAAGGATGAAATTAGCAATTTCATCAGAAAAATAGTTAATTTTGAACATTTTCCAATTGCCATCATATGGTAACTTTAAAGTCTAAAGTTTTGTTTTTCACTTTTCCCCATTCTTCGAGGAAGGAAATGCTTCAAGTAGTGACTTAAAGCAATCTAAAACTTAATTGAGAATGTGAAGTGTCCTCCTTAGCACTGAAAAGGAACGTTAATATGATTAGCTTGTTCACATCTCATAAACTTTGTTGGTGAATACTTTACACACCACTCAGCAATGTGGAGGAGAAAGTGGATCATCACAAGAAAAGAAGTGGCTAGAGAAGTAATATTCAAATGAAGCCATATGAGACCATTCTCTGAATTTGAAACCTTATTAAGAACTCAAAAGTGAAACAAATGAGCAACCTTTCTAAGTCAAACACAAGCTTTAAATTTCAATTGTCAACCAGGTCTAATCGGATTGGATTTCTAGACAGATTGAAATAGGGTCCAGAACTGCACTGCTAAGCTGCTGTCTACCAGGACTGATGCCCATGAGAAATCCATTTTTCCAATGGTAACAGTTCACACCAATCTTGAAAAGAAAAGAAGAAGAAGAAAATAAACTGTTTTTAACATATAATGCCATTGTGAGAATGATGCTGTCATATGATTACCTAAAACTGCAAGTATCCTCCACTCAACAAAAAGTCCCAGCAGATAGGCCAGCATTATTCCAAGTGTGACAGACAGCTACAAAGTATAACATTGCTTATTTGAGTAGTCTGACAAGTGATTAAAGCCTTCCATAAAATATTCAGCAACCACACTCATGATAAACAGTGCCAGAACCAACCTGATTCACTGAACCCAAGCTTCCCCTTAAGTTTTGAGGTGATATCTCAGCTATATACACAGGCACCTATACATGACAAACACATTGAATACTCTCAGCTTTGCTTTACACAAAAATTCGATCTTAATAACCAAAGCATAGTTCCATGTTACCGTGTAAGAGATTATTCCCACACCAAAACCTTCCAACAACCTTCCCATGTAAAGAAAAGATGAATCCTGCAAAATGCAGCAACCTTTGTTGTGAGTGTTAATGATCAAGCTACATGAAGCTTGGATAATATAATCATTAGAACTCACTTTTGCAAAAGATATAGCAAGCCATCCAATTATATTAGGAATAGCAGCAATCATTAAAGACTGCAATGAAAGAAGAAACTAAACTTAGCAATCCAAATCAAAACAAGAAATAAAACTGCGAAGCTAAATCAGTGATTGGATTACCCCTTTCCGGCCGATATACTCGGCTATCTGACCACTGGCTATTGCTCCAACCATGGCACCCACATTCGATAAAGAGCCAAATAGAGAAAACTGTCCCAAAAATAGGACTTCTTAGCTGAGTTAATCAAACCCAAAAACAAAAAGGAAAAAAAGAATAGCTTTACCTCTGAGACTGTTAGTCCAAGATCCTTGATGATTGCAGATTGTGTAGGAGAAGAGTAACCAGACTACAAACAAATTAAACCCCAATTTAGGACTTCCATTTCTTATTTCAAATGATAGTAAACTTAAAGCTACATCAGAAAAGAAGCAAAGCAAGTGCAACTGAAGTTAACTTACAGTGAAACCGAATTGGATAGGACCCAAAGCAACAATCAAAACGCAGGCTACAACAGAGATAGAGCTATCACGAATAGCCTGAGATGAGCCCAGCATACTAGAGCCCATCCTGGAACCCATCCGATACCAGCTTCCTGTATGTAGAAATGGCTTCCGTAGATCCCTCCCATCTTCAGAATCATCCCTGAAACTCATCTGTCCCTCTTTCTCTGTACCAACTTCTCTTTGAACGAGAAAACACTGTCTGATAACCCAGAGAGGAGACAAGGAGCCTTGCTCTTAGATTGGATATCTTGACACAGAAGATTTTATGAGCTGGAGGAACCCTACCGAACAAGGAAGTAATAAAACGTAGTTTAATAAAAAAAATAAAACTACTTAATATATAATAATACATCTGCCAAAAAAAGATAGAAGAAAAAGAATCAGAACCTGTGAATCAGACGTGTTGATCGTGTCTCATAACCCAGCTGCTCTGCTGTAATGGAAACTGACCGTTAGCTCCAGCTCAAACTTACCATAGATGTGGTCACACCACTCCAACTAAATTAAACCTGTTTTATTCCTCTTTTGGGGTCTTCCTGACTGATATCTAAGAGGAGAAAAAAAAAAAAAAAAACTGGACTTTTAGCTTTTACCAAACGTGAGCAAGGCTTTTGGTTTCCATTATTGAAAATAGTACTATCAATGTCTATTTAATCATATTCAAACCCCAGTTATTGACCCTTTCATCTAAGTAACATTTAATTTAAAACATTCCTATTTCACTTATTACAAATTTTTTATTTTAGAAAATTAAAAAATTAATCAAATTTTGATCTATATATTCACGTGATGATGTTTCAGTAGCTATAAATTAAATTTATAAAACTAACACTTTCAACTTTGTCGTGCCAAATAAATAAATTCAACAATGGTAATCATATCAAACAAAATAATAATAATAATAAAAAGCACATTTTCCTGGAATCCATGGTACTTTCAGGTTTTAGAGGTGAAAATTAAAAAAACTGGTTACCGGTAAGAGTGGTCGACTGGAACTCCAACTACCAGTCGTCGTTGGTAAGCAAATCAACAGAAACTTTAGAGTTGGCATTGTTTGAGGTAAGGTTGTCTGATTTTGTAATCGTTGCACCAGAAATTTAGAAGTGTCCACGTGAAAATCGTGACCGAAGAAACTGACAAGGAAACCAGGCTGTCGTCGTTGATAATGAAAGAAACTGAAAGTGTAGGAAATAATAAATATTACTTTTACACTTACCTTAAATAATTTCCTAGTGGGCTGATCCGGCTCAAAATAAAAACGTCAGTTCGAATCGCAAAAAGTACCTTATTTTGGACCGGCCATTTCTGAATTGGGGCAATTCCTCCGCCTGCTTATATTGGGCTAGGCACATGGATTTTTTGTGGGGCTTCTTACACGCGCTGTAACCGAGCGTGGGATATTGAAGAGCTTGAAACTTTTCCTTCTCGGAAGACAACACATGTTGAGAAACAAAACGCAGTTTAGTTGAAAATATTAAGATTTTTATTTTTATATAATTAAATAAAACAAAAAGGAGTTAGTCAGTCCACTTTTCTCTGTTTCGAGTGTGTTAAAGACTTCTCATAAATAATAATTACTCCACTAGTTCATGTCTTTCTTCCATTACTGCTCCCCATAACACGCCGCCGCCAACATCAACACCGCCGTCGTTAACCTAGTCAACCACCGATTTCCAAATTAGAACTCAGATTTTGATCGATCTCACATGGGCGAACAAACCCTGACACCGCCTGAACCACAGGTTCAATCTCAGCCCCCAAATGACTCCTCCTCCACCCCAACCCAATCCCAAGCCTTAGCTCAAACCCAAACTCAAAACGCGAATAATAATACCTCCACCGGCGCTGTTTCTACCGTTAGCACTGTCACTTCCGCCGTTGTAGCTTCTCCAACGGAACTTACCAATGCTCCTCCCCCGACCTCGTCCCCTCCTTCGAAGATCCCTTTCCGCCCTAGAAAAATCCGGAAACTTTCCCCTGACCCGAAATCCGACCCTAATGCCTCCCAACAAGCAACGACTTCCTCAGCGTCCGTAACGGAACCGCCTAAAACCGTCGCCAAAACTCCCAAAACAAAACTCACTCAACATCGAGCCCTAGCGGTTGTGGCTCCACGAATAATGGCCCGGTCCCTCTCTTGCGAAGGCGAGGTCGAAGCCGCCATCCGCCACCTCCGCAACGCCGATCCCCTCCTCGCTTCAATAATCGATCTCCATCGACCTCCAACTTTCGACACTTTCCACACCCCTTTCCTCGCTCTTACTCGAAGCATTCTCTACCAACAGCTCGCTTTCAAAGCTGGCACTTCCATCTACGCTCGCTTCATCGCTCTCTGCGGAGGCGAAAACGGTGTTGTTCCTGAAACTGTTCTTTCCTTAACCCCTCAACAGCTCCGACAAATTGGTGTCTCGGGACGAAAAGCGAGTTACCTTCATGATCTTGCGAGAAAATACCAGACTGGGATATTATCTGACTCGGCGATTGTTAATATGGATGACAAATCACTCTTTAGCATGCTTACTATGGTAAATGGGATCGGATCTTGGTCGGTTCATATGTTTATGATTTTCTCGCTTCATAGACCCGATGTTTTGCCGATTAATGATCTCGGGGTTCGAAAAGGGGTTCAATTGCTTTACAATTTGGAGGAGTTGCCAAGGCCTTCGCAGATGGATCAGTTGTGTGAGAAGTGGAGGCCGTACAGGTCAGTTGCTTCGTGGTATCTTTGGAGGTTTGTGGAGTCCAAAGGGGCTCCTTCGAGTGCTGCCGCGGTTGCTGCTGGTTTTAGTCTTCCACCGCCGCAGCAAGAGGAGCAGCAACAACATCAGCAGCAGCCCCAGCTTCTCGACCCCATTAATAGCATTCTCAACCTTGGGTATGATCTTTTTCTTAGCAAAAAAATGTTTGCTTTATTGAATATTTTGGTTTTGTTAGTTGCATTTCATGAAAAAGAACTGTTTTTTTCTTTGCCTTTTATGAGCTGGATTGACATTATCTATTTTAAAAGCTTAACCATTTTTGCTTTTTGTGCATTTTAGAAGATTCATTTGATCAGTTATGCTTTTGAAGTAGGATTGATAGTAGCTAAGAGGCATCTCTTACATTTATTTCAAGTGCTATTTGTTAGACTTGAAATTTATTACTTTGCTGTCTTTAGCTCTTAAAAAGTTATGGAAGTCATAGAATAGGCTAAATGCTCAATTTAGGATCTAAAGTTTAAGTGTTTTCTCAATTAATGCTACTATCTTTAATTTGATTCAATTAAAGATTAAACGTTTTCGGATGTGTTCAAAAAAGGACTTTGTAACGACAGTGACTTACACGTGTGATGAAATAGTGTGAAACATTTCATTGTTAAGCTGAAAGGGGTAAAATCATATTTTTAATCATTGTATCAAAATAAAAAATAATCCAAATTAATATGAAATCAAACGGGGTTTTAAGGATTTTTTTACCCAAAGCTTTTCAAAATGTTCCATTCTTGTTTCTGCATCAAGCTTTTCAATTCTCTTTGGGCTTGTCTCCATTGTAGAATACTATCTTACAGCACGCTGCTATCCAACCAACTCCCTCTCCCATGGTCTATCTCATTCTCAACAAAAACAAAACCAAATTCAAGAGGAAATTCAACTAAACAACAAAGTCAGAAAATGGAATTGAAAAACATTTTGATTCATTAAACCACTAAGTTTTCAAGAGGAAAAAAAATTCAATTAAATCAAAGTGAAAAGATTCAAGAGCAAAAAGTTTTTCATTAAACCATATTGAAGAAAATTCAAGAGCAAAAAAATTTCACAAAATCAGAAAATTCGAAGGATTCTCAACAAACCAAAGTTCACAGTCAAAAAATTCAAGAAAAAAAGAAGAGGGTGAAATGGGAGGATCAGGTAAGGCGCTTTTTCAGTGGTGAAAAGGAGAAGAAAAATGACACCACTGGAGGTGGCAGTGCCAGCGGTGGCTGACAATGGCAAGAGAAGTTTGGGCTACTTTGAAACTGAAAAGGAAAGAAAGATGGAGGTTAAAACCATAGTGAAAAATGGGATTGCTTGAAGTTATGAAAGTGGGTTTTTTGGGGTTGAAACTGCGAGTCTTCTTTGTGGATCTAAATAATTTCAAGTGTTTTATAGAAAATCCACTCAGATAACATGAAAGAGACACCCAAAATGGATTAGTGGATGAATATTTGGCTCATTTCAATGCCGGCAACAGGTGGTCGGCGATGGAAAGAGGCGGCCACGGCGGCGGCTAGTCACCGGTTTCTGGGTTTGTGAGGAACTACTGCTAGTTTGGCCTAGAGAGAAGGAAGAGTGTTTGGGTTTAGTGAGAGAAAATGAAAGGTGAAATAAGAGAGATTTGAAAAATTTTTAGATTTTATAGTAGTACGTTAATTTAATAAAAAAATAGTGATGAATGTTAGCATGTTAAACGAAAATTTTCGCTGATAAAAAATAAAAAATTTAACGGTTAAAGGGACTTAAAGGTGTCTGTAAGTCATTGCCGTTAAGTAATCCTTTTCTGAACACATTCGAAATCGTTTAATTCTTAATTGAGTCAAATTAAAGATGGTAGCCTTAATTGAGAAACTGCTTAAATGTTAAATCGTAAATTGAACATTTAGCCCATAGAATATAAATCTCCTGTTAAGGTACCAAATATTTACAGGCTTGGAATTGTACATACCTGCAATGTGATATTATGACATGGGGGAAAATAAATTGAGAAAAGGGGAACTGGCCTCCTTCTAACTCAGGGAAACTGACAGGATTTGAATCAACATCTGGAAAGCATTCTGAAATGTGATATTAGTGTGTAAAACATTTCATAAAGAAAGTTAGAAAGACAATAAACAGGTGATTCTCCCGTCCAGAAGAAAAAGGATATATCTTTTTATTGAAAATTAATAAATATAAAGATGTTAATGGTATTTTTTTTCTAACACTCGGTAGAATGTTATATTCTTTTCAATATACATGCTATGGTGATCCAGTGTACTTCTCTATTAATAAAACTATCAAATCTTGATATCAAATATGGAGATAGTAATAGGAAGAGCATGAGTAGATTTACGCTCATATTGGCAGGAAAACACCTTGAAGATAATTTAGTCATGTTTTTGCATTTGAAAGAAGGCAATAAATAGATGTTTGGGCTGTGTTGATACCTAGCCTCTACTTTGAAAGAGTTTCTTGTGAATGCAGATAGAGTTAAACAGAACTACCAGTAGTTATTAGTTTGCCTAAAAGTGGAACATTGACAGCTGCATCACCTCTAAGGCAATGAATAGAGGACTGTGTATGATAGTCCTAGCCTCTAGTTCACCTTTTAGGGTGTAGGTTTGGGATTGTTGTGGATACTCTAGATACCGTGTTCAAACTAATAATTGTTTTATAATATATATCTCTGTCCATGATCAAGTCATTGGGGAAGTTTACATTATGAGTATTAGTTGGCATGGATGATGGATCACATGTCGTATCTATCCTTGATTCTGTATGGGTAGTCCTCTTGTTTACATAATGGTATAAATCAAGGTTTATGTTGGAGATAAATGACAAATGGAGCCTGTCAATCATTATATGCTTGTCAACCTTGTATGTTTTATGTGCCTGAAGCTCATTTGCAATATTGATAGGAATCGTAGTAGAATCTTCGATGCAAGTTCCATATTGGTACATTGCTGTGGCTCTCTAATGTTGGTGATCTTGGAGTCTTTAGGAATTGATTTCCTATTCTACTTGATGAAATTTCATGCTAAGTTTAGAGATCTTACTGCTGATTGATAATCTACACTTTAGAACCTGTCTTTTAGTTATATCCTTAGATTGTTATGAAGGTGCATCTCTATCACCAGTTTAATATAAAAAGCCTGAATAAGATTTAGTGTAAGGTAATTTTCTTCATTTTCTTATATTGTTTCTTTAATTTTGAACAAGGTAAATATAGAAGTTCAGTTAAATTTCCATGTGGAATTCTAGGTAAGGAAGTAAGTTTCAGCATGGATGTAATTGATCATAAGATATCAAAAGAGATAGTTTATTCCTTGTACTTGATACTCCTACCATTCTCAAACCTTTACTGCCAGAAGACACAATGGAGAAAATGTAAACACGTGTGCCCCTGTAGTGGCGGCTTGGATTGGGGTTTTCCATGAATTCCAAAAATATCCCAAGTTTAGATTCATCAATGTCTTACGGTATGATGATAAGCTTATGCTTACTGTTTTGTAGTATTCTCTCTCTCTCATATTGAATTGGGCCAAATTCCTACCCCTTGCCTTCTAACAGGGACTAATCGTTTGATTTTGGGAAAGGGATAACATGAAATTCTTCTGCCAAGTAGTTCATATATATGGGTAATCTACCTATTTCATGCCCTCCACCTTACTTTTAAATTAGTAGATTGGTATTCCAAGTGGAGTCAGTTATGCTATGGATTTACATGGTATATTACAAAAATCACCATGACATTATATCCATGATCTCATGTTTTCTTACACTATGACTCTGAAAATGCATGCTCATGCTCCCCGGATGCAATTTTTTTTTCCCTTTTTTCTTTACCTTTTACATAATTGAAGTTTGAACTTTGTTGGTTTTAACATTTCTTTACAATGCTTTTGTAATGATTTTTCTGTCTGTTCTGTTATTAGGGCCTGTGCTTGGGGGCAATGATTGCCATTGGTAACAGAATTGTTTGGCATTTGTCACAATTCATTGATCGCTTGAAGGATAGGGGCTTCAAGGAAAATGTTCGTGTGTAATTAGTTGTTCTGAAAGCCATTAACGTGATAGGCCTTAAGAGTAAAGTCTTTCAACTTTGGTCTCGTAAATCTGCTTCGAGATTGAATAAGCACAATGCCCAGTTCTTTAGTCTCTGTGAAAGGACACCAGTTATAGCTGTCAACTGTATCGAATAGGACATTAGTAGGAGTTCAATTCACCGCTGGATGTGTCGTTGCGTCCCTTGAACTGTCTAAATTCTGGCTGCGTGTTTGTATATTTTTGCAACTGATGCACATGTTTGAAGTCAAACCCTTTTTTGATAATCAATTAATGACCATCTATGGTAAAGCCCGACTTAATTGATAGCCATAATGGAATATTGGTTTCTGGTGTTGACACTGGAAAGTACAAAATCTGGATGAAGAATCATTAGCTGGAACGCAAAGATTGATGTAACAGGGACAACCATAAGCACTTCCTCTTGGAAATCCATGTCTTGGTCAATTTGACTAGGAAATCCTGAACTGTTAGATAAGGTTGCAGCAAACCCATGGCTTGTAATCGGATGGTGGGTTAAGTGTGGTTGGTGCATTATTTTCAATTGTTTGTAAGTGAGAAGTGAGCTCGAATATCAAGTCATATGGGCGAGGCGACAAGCTTTAGCCTTTAGGACCAAACCACTCTTCAATTGGGCCAAAGATGGATGAAGATGCTATTCCAAGTGTAGATGGTGCATTATTCTCAATTATGGTTAAGCAAGAAGTGAGCCCCAAGATCGTGTCATATGGCCGAGGTGACCAGCTTTGGGTCCAAGCCAGTCTTCATTTAGGCCAAAGATGGATTCAACTAATCAGGAAGGCGTTCTACCCTCACTTTTACGGTATGTTTGGATTGAGAGAGAAGAAAAAAAAGAAAAGTAAAGTAAAGAAATATAAAGGAAACAAAATTCATCTTTCCCTTTTGAATAAATTTTTAATTTAAAAAAAAAAGAGAAAATCAAATAACTTTTGATTTTTCTTGTAAATTTAATTTTTTTAATATCCCAATTTGAAAGAAAAATTAGGGAAAAGAAAGTTGAAAAATATTTTTTTTATAAAAAATTATTATATTTATTTTTTTATTAATACTAAAACCTTAATAAAAAAACTTAACAGATTACAATTATTTTATAATTTTTTTAAAGTTATTTCTTTTTTAAAGTAAATTTCACATATCTTTTTCAATATAAATATTGTTTATAATTTTTTGGTAATTTGATTTTGATGAATGGTTGAATATGAATAGATATATTTTTTGGGTTTATGAGATGACAGATTAGCTCAAAATTCATCAATACATGTTTGTAAAATATTTTTTTATTTCATTTGATTAAAAATCATTGATATAGCAGTAACTGTGATGTCAAATAAGATAACAAACATATCATAGTCTAAGAGTGTTCTAAAATCACAGTAATGAAAGATTATAATTGAAAAAAATTATTATAATAAATCATTTTTTTTCTTTTTTACTCTTTATCAAAACAATGTTTGTTAGAATTTTTTCCTTTTTTTTTCTTTTATTAATTTTAATTATCAAAATATGGGTTACATATATCATTTTCTTTCATTTAAAAAATTTTATTTTTCATTCTTTTTCATTCTTTTATTTTTAATTTTTTTTATTAATATTTATCCCATAATCACCTATGGAGCATGGACTATGCCTAACAAATACCATATCTATTCCTTACCATTGTGTTAATTAAGAAGGAATAAAAAGGTTAGAAAAGAACAAATATATATTTAAATATTTAAATATAAAAAATTATTTTTATTTATTTGGTGTGAAATATTGAAAATAAAGGAAAAGAAAGATATTAGAAATAAAGTAAATAAAATTATTAACTTAAGTAGATGAGTGTTTTCTTATCATATTTGGAAGGATTGAATTTGGAAAAAAGAAAAATATGTAGATTCATTGTTTTTTTAACTTCTTATTTTTTCTCTATAAAACAAAAAAATGTGAAAATGAAGTGTTTTTTTTTCGTGCTTCCTTCGTTCTTCATCCCCTACTAAATACAGTGTACGCATAATTTCTCTCAGCTACTACTAAAAGATACCTTTAGGCTTGATTTCATCATCTATTTGCCGCATATTCTTGATCAATATCCGTATCAAGCTCTTTGGAATTCCCGCAAAGTGTATTCCAGTCTTTATTACCTTCAAAGGGAATCGTTTTAGGAACCAATGCATTAGCTCTTCATATGTTTTTAAATTGTTGTTGTTTCCGTCACGGCATCACCCGTCGCATGATTGCTCCTAATATTACTTTCTTAATCCACATGTGATCGAACCAAGGACGGCTTTCAAGAAGGTCAGAAGCAGAAGCTGGCATTGGAATGTCACGTATTCACGACAATTTTGTGCAAACATCAATGAAGTGACATTGTTTTACTTATTTACAATGAAAGCTGCCGAGGATCATTCTGGGATATTCTCACAGAATACCTTTTCTTGTTCACTCTTTTAGTGTTCGATTGTCTTCAGTGAAGGCAAGATTGTCACCATATTCTCAGCGCTGACCTGGCATTTCTCAGTATAAAAGTCGAATTAGCAGGAAGACGACCTATCAAGGAAACACAGAACAGAAAAATATGAATTATGAAAACTATGATCCTTCTTTCCCTGACCAACCAGTTGTTGACCAATACCTCCCCTTATGGTCTCGCCTACCAGCCTTTAGGTCCAAGCCAGCCTTCATTTGGCCTGAAGATGGCTCGACCAATTTAAGCAAGGGCTCAACACTAACCTATGCTCAGCTCAATGATTCAGTGCAGGCCATTTCTTTTCAGCTACTCCTCTCATTACAAAGAGGTGACACTGTAATCGTTTTATGCTCACCCGGGTTAGAGCTCGTTGAGATCATTTTTGGGTGTCAAAGAGCCGGCCTTTTGGGCGTGCCCATATTCCCACCAGACCCTTCTTTTTCCGAAGACAACTATCACCACCTAGTCAGAGTTCTCTCCCAGACAAAGCCAAAAGCTGCCATTGCTCACCATGATTATATCACAAGGGTTCAGCAATATCTCTCTTTGCCCTCTAAAGACGAGAGGCTTGCAGAGTTGTTACAAAACCTGAGGTGGATTTCTAATGAAGATGTCAAACATAAAAACGTAGATTCTAGAGTGGGTTCTACGTTTTATAACGGTTGCAAACCTGATGAAATTTACTTGATTCAATACACCTCAGGTGCAACAGGGATCCCAAAGCCAGTGCTTGTGACTGCTGGATCAGCAGCTCATAATGTTAGGACAGCCAGGAAAGCTTATGATTTACATCCAAATAGTGTTATTGTCTCTTGGTTACCTCAGTACCATGATTGTGGCCTAATGTTTCTGTTATTGACCATTGTATCCGGTGCAACATGCGTGTTAACATCACCGGGAGCATTTGTTAACCGCCCTAGGCTATGGCTCGAGCTAATTACAGAGTTCAAGGCTACTTGTACTCCAGTTCCATTATTCACCTTGCCACTAGTCGTGAAGCGTGGTGGAGTTGAAAAAAGAAGCTCACCTATCAATCTATGGAGCTTGAGAAATCTCATTATCATCAATGAGCCCATTTACAAGGCATCAGTTGAAGAATTTCTTCAGGTGTTTAAGCCTTTTGGACTAAACCCATCGTCAATCTCTCCATCTTATGGCTTAGCAGAGAATGGCACATTTGTTTCCACAGCATGGAGAAACAATAACAACTCTGGAAACTCCTGTTTTCCTAATTTTCCTTCTCACAACAAGCTCTTACCAAGTGCAAGACTTGCTAGTGACGAAGAAGAGGACATGAACATTATTGTTATAAATGAGGACACTCATGAGCTTGTTGAGGACGGAATGGAAGGGGAGATTTGGGTTTCATCTCCAAGCAATGCCTCTGGTTACCTGGGCCATCCTTTCTTGACTCAATTTATATTTAAAGCTAGACTTAGCAACAAGGTTGCGCGGTGCTTTGTCCGAACTGGAGATAGAGGAATTGTGAAAGGGGAAGAAAGATTTCTCTTCGTGACAGGTCGTTGCGTAGACGTCATTAAGCTCCCAAACGGTCAGGATATGCACCCTCATTACATAGAGACCGCTGCTTATAATAGTTTCCTACAGTTTATTAGAGGAGGTTGTCTCGCTGCATTTGATATTTCAAGCATAATCGTTGTTGTTGCAGAGATGCAGAGGAGTGAAAAAGATAATAAGATTTTGAGGAACATATGTGAAAGAATCAGAGAAACTGTTTTGAATACAGAAAAAGTCGAAATAGGGATGGTCGTTCTTGTCAAAAGTGGAAGTGTTCCTAAAACAACTTCAGGTAAAATTCAAAGATGGGCGGCAAAGAACAATCTTCTAGGAGGTAAAATGAATATTCTAATGGAAATGAAGTTTGATAACAATGGGGGTTTGTTACCACCCCCAGGGGAAACGGTAATTGCAAGTTTTGGAAGAGGTAGGCAAGGTGAAGAGGGAAGAGCACTAAGACTAAGAGCTGAAGAGAAAGAAAAGATTCCTTTTTCTTTCTCAAGTGCTTCAATTGTTCGTCCTAGGTTGTCTCGATTGTGAGAGCATAAAAAATCTATCTACGACAAGGATGTTATGTTTTGCTTGTGCCCCAAAATAGTGTAAGAAGAGAGCTTTAAGTCCAGTTGCATCCTTTTCCTTGAGATCATCGACAATGGTGAGAATTAGGGAGTGAATATTAGTTTGTGTGAATGAAACTATATGGCTCATTGCATAACTTCGTAAATAATATATTACTTATACTCTATCTATGGTCTGTGCTCTAAGAAAATAGATTTGAAGAACAAGAACATGAAAACCTTTTCTCTCTGCCAATTTTAGGCTGTAAACCAGAGTTTATTCCTCTCCTACTCTGCATTGCAATCATTCTTGGCTTGCAGTGATAATTCATATAGAGACAGGTGGTGCTTAAAATTCCCCACATCTGTTGACTTTAAATAAATGCTACCATCATTAGACAATTGTAAATGGATATCTAACATTTTATCCCCAATATTGCAAAAGTTTGACAACAAGTAAGACAAAAATCACAAGGCAGTAATTTTATTATTTTCTTTATATTCATCTCCATTATGCATACATCCCCTTTAATATCTGAGGCATAAAAGCATTAAGATATGGATGAATCCTGTTGTCTGAAAACAGTATCTACTAATCATCCCTAAAAGCAACAACTTCTGTGTAAGATTCTCAATTTTGGATTCCAATAAATCTCATCCAGGTAATTTGAACTTCTAATCTAGAAGAAATCAATTACGACGGGCAAGTAATAAACTGGCAACTCTTGCCCTGTAAAGCAGGAGCATTATAATATAAAGCAGTTTAGAGGAAAAAATTGGCAATTAGCTATGGTAATAAACTCTAGAAACGATATGAAGAACGGCAGCAATAGTAGACTTTTTAGGGAAATTCCAAATCCCAACTGATCATTGCGACAGAGAAGACAAGAGATGAATACATGACTTTCCTAAAATCGAAAAACCTTGGAGGAAGTACATGTTTCATGGTAAATTTCTGACTTCCCCTAGACTTGCCCTAGCAGATTAAGAAGTTGTGTTGTTTTCCACATATGCGGCCAAGGTAGTAAATTGATGGTCCAATCTCAACGATCCTATCTATGCAAATCAACAGCCTTGAACATAAAGGGGTAGATATTATCATTGATATTTCGACCTATTGCATTATCAGACTGCACTGTGATCAGTTTCCTTGTCTCAAAACTGTAAGCAGCAATGATTCGAGGCAGTTGAAAATACAAAATCTCCAAATCCTCATTAAAAGTACAAGGTTTAACTGTGGCAAGTGAGATTGTAAACATCATATCCTCGGGAATTTGAAAAACCTCATAAGTTCTTGATACCAATTCATCCATTCGAATGCAATGCTTGAGTCGCCACATCAATCTGTAATCATTGCTGTTATTGTCATGAACAGAATTGCCTACGTATTCCCATATATAGAATCCCACATAAGTTGAATCACAATAATGCAGACGATCTTCGGATTCCCATAAACGTTTCGCACAGTACACAGACATTACAGGAATGCTCGTCTTCGGTAACTCCATAAGCTCAAAAGATTCTTTTTCATTATTAAAAACCAGTAAGTATAGGCTCCAAATCCAATATATTTATTTGTCCCTTACAGTAAAGACTAGGGCAAGACCATTCTTCACTGTTGAAATCTCTACTAAGCATTAAAGCTGACTTGGGTATTCTTCCACTGCCTTCCCTCCATTCCCAAGTCTTTGACGAGAAAATCTGATACGTAATAATCCCATTCTGAATATCAGCTTCTTCCCAGAATTGACATATCACCTTGAAGTGTTGTTGTACCCCATCAAAGGCAAGACTCGCAGAAGCTGGACGCAACAAATCATAGCCACAAGGAAGTTGTGACCATTGGTTTTTCATGGGGGTGGAGACATGATAAGTTAAAGAACTTCCATCTTTGACACCAAACAGAAGCAAACCGTTGCAAGAATCAATCAACCAAGGAAGATTATGTGTGAGGAAAGTGTTTATAGAACAGCTCTCGCCTTGTCTTTGACATCAAGCAAAGTTAGTTGGTATAAAGTTCGGTTTGTGGAAGATTTCTTGACGGAATAAGCTAGGCCTGAAGTGGTGATGGGAGGAGAAGTATAGCGGAGATCAGTGATCAAATTGTTCCAAGCTTTTGATACACACCTGAATCTTGTGCGTGATTTCAAGGGAACTTTACAGAGGATTAGTTCCGGGATATCCAGGCATAAATCTTGTCTGTTTTCCATCTTCATGGTTCTTGTCTTGCTTGGCAAGAAACCCTAACATTGCAATAGCTGAAACTTGAGAAAGAAGGCTGCACGATGGTTTTGCTGAAATACATAAAGCCTGGCGAGGTTTGAAGGACTTTAAACCCTTTCAGCAGCGCCAACTGAAGAAAAAACAAAGATCGAAAAAGCAACAGATTGTAGCGTTAGCCCGGCCCAATTTTACTGGGGTTTGATCTGAACCTAGGTCTGGGATTAAAGTATATCCTATAGATTATTTACTTGTTCTAGACATTTGGGGCCAAAACATATTTACTTGCTAAGTAATTAATGAGAAAATCACCTTTTAAGATTTATATCAATATTCCAATTTTCTTTTTCAGAAAATGCAGTTTTCTGGGAAAAACAACACTTCATCTAGCTTTGCTCCTCTGATCATTATAATAATAAATATTTTCCATTTCTTATATGTGTGTGAAGAGTAAACAATGACTCCAACAAAGAAAATTGTACTGTCCAAAAAAATAAATGTTTGAAAACCGGTTTAATGCCATCAACTTATATATTAACGGCAATTAATTATGCACCCAAAGTCAATGAACTCAAGATTTAGCTCAATTTTTTATGAAATTTTTTTAAATAAAATGACTTTAAATAATTTTAAATTTTAATATTTATAATTTTTTAATCTCTAAATTACTATCTATTTGTAAAAATGCAATATGCCTCTAACATTATCGATGTTTAGATTAGCCTTTGGTTCGTTGGACTTTGATTCAACTTTGCATTTAGTTAAGATTAAAGCAAATTGTTGACTTTCTCAAGTCAAGGCTTCTACTATTTGAAAGAAAGATTCATACTATGAACCGATTAATTTTATTAATGAAGGAACCAATATCTTAATAAAAGAACATTCTGAATTTTGTTACCATATTGCTATGATTTATTTGTAATAAAAAATCATTTAAACTTCAGGGTTAAATTATCTATAAATAAGAATGAATTCTACATATTAATCAAATTAAAAGAAGAATTTTGCAAGCGAGTATTCTGAAAAAATATTTTAAAGTTATTATATTAAATAAAAATTTTCATATATTATAATTCATCAAATTAACTATCAAATAATTGTATTTAATAAAAAAATTAATATTATAAATAGTAGTTTAACCTTTAAAAAAATGAATTTGTTGCACATTTTGTACCATTTTGAGCATGTACATTAGTATTACATATCTTTTATAGTGTATTTTAATAAAAAATGTTGGATTTTTAATTTCATTTAAATCTGGCAAATTAAAAAAAAAATTTATATTTGATACATTATTGGTGTATAGATTTTATACATTGTCAGTGTATAAATTTTTTATATCATCAATAAATTAAATTATGTCACTTTATTAATTAATAAATATTAATTTTTAAAATAAATATATAAAAATTAATATTTTTTACAAAATTTACTCAGAGTGATATTATTTTATATTTGATACATTATTGGTGTATAGATTTTATACATTATCAGTGTATAAATTTTTTATATCATCAATAAATTAAATTATGTCACTTTATTAATTAATAAATATTAATTTTTAAAATAAATATATAAAAATTAATATTTTTTACAAAATTTACTCAAAATGATATCATTTTATTTATTTTATTAATAAGATGACATAATTTTATTCATTGAAAGTATATAAATTTACATTGATAATATATAAATTCTATTTATTAATAAAATGACATCAAATATCATATTATATTAACGTGCATGAGAGGGAGGTGACAAGAGAAGACATAAAACGAAGGAACGGGGGGTGTGATTCAATCGGGAAATTTATGCATGAAGCAGAAGGAAAATTTTCAGAGTGGTAAAGCGGCTGAGGTGATAAAACCAAAAAGTGATAGAAGTCCTGGCGAGGGATTCTTGAGTTCGAAATATCATTGGGTGAAGCCATACTGCATTGCATCCCCGAAAAATGAACAGTGAGCAACCAAGTACCAAAGCAATACAACGTGGAAAGAGCAGAGAGGCAAATAAGAATCCATCGATTGCATCACGGAAAGGTAAAGACATTGCTTGGGGGCAAGCGTGGTTGTTGCCAGAGAGTTGCAGAAATGCGCACATTAGGCTTTGATGCGTCAGATCCATACATTCAGCAACAGGACAACAACCCCACTGTGGACCATCCCCAAAGTTTTTAACTTTTCACTCTCCCCTCTCACTCTTTCTCTTTTGAGTTTGAATCTGTAGCAGTTGTTAAAGATCTTTCCTTTAGCCTGTAATGGAGTGTTTATTAGTTTCCGGAAACCTGTTTTAT